CCGAACCCTAAAAGGCTCAAACCGAGCTGCTTAACCGACCTCTGGGTACCTAGTTGAGATGGTCTGTGCGTGGTTCAATTTATTCCCTTAAACCCCCTGCAGTGCAGCTCCACAATCCAAACCCGCCTGGGCATCGTTCAACGTCGCGCGTCTTCGTCGCGTTTGTGCCAGCAGCCGAACTGAGCGACTTGAACCCATCAACCAAACAGCATGCAAAATGTCCGACATATCGGAAAACGCAGATAACGCAGGACACCTCGTCGAAGAATCTGATGATGCCGAGTGGGATAAGTCGGACCAGGATGACTCTCCACAGAAAGCTCACTTGCTAGACTTGGAAGCAGTTGAATCATCCTCATCCGATTCGAGCGAGGGAGACTTCAGCATTGATGAGAGCGACCAGGACAGCCAGGAACCCTTCTTTTTTCCCCAGTTCAAGCGCCTTCCTTTTGAGCTTCGCGAGCGGATATGGCAATTCTTCTGCCCGGATCTGACTGCGAAGGCAAGAGCGTTTCACTTTCATTGCGTCCCGCCATCGGCACATGAACTGGCCCATGGATACAGACCGCCGAAAGATGCCCCCATGGTGCCGATTTGGAACCACGCATTCCTGGAACAGCAAACCAGACCTGCTCGCACCATGCTGGCCTTGCACCGCGAGACCCGAGAGCTCGCCCTGAGGTCTTTTCCCGACGCCCTTTCGTTCCGGCGCAACTCCATCCTGAGGTTCAACGCCAAGACCGATGTCATTTTCTTGGATTCCATCGGATCAGGCTCAATCCGCGTAAGGTCTCGCTTATACCCCGAAGACGGCCTCTTCGACCTAGGCTTCACAAGGCCCATCCAGCACCTCGCCGTTGACCCCTACATATTTCCGTCTGTTCAGTTTTACAAACTCCAAGCTATGTTCAGAGCCTTCAGGAATGTCAAAAACGTCTACTATGTCCTCAATGCCAGCGATCACAGACCCGAAAAGCTAGCCTGGTGTGCCTCCGACATGGTGAGCCATTACAATCTCGTCACATTCGAGGAGGAACCGGGCCTCGGCGAGAATTCCTCGTGTTTTTACTGCTGGCCGGATGTCGAACGGAATCGAACGTTTGCCGAGCAAGAGATTCCGGTGGCTTATTTACTCAGCCGTGCAAATGTTTCTTTTTTCGATGACGGGGACGTCGTCGAATTACTTCCAGATGGCGTACCGGCCTGGCCATTGATTCAGTTCCATTTTGATCCCGAAAAAGATCCCGTCGAGCAACTTTCGGAGGCGATTGCGTCAAACCCCGATTGGCACTCGCCGGCCGGAGAAGACTGGCAGGAAGAAGACGAAATCAGCGACAGCGAACTCGATGAGTATGAAAGTGAAGGCATTGACGACTCCGAAATTAGCGAGGATGGTTCAACTAACAGTTCTGAACTTGATGTGTTGGATGAAGGTGACAACCCACATCATGCGCATTTCTCCAGCCCGGAGCAGTCATCTTCGACCGTCGAGGAATCGGATGGATCGGAATCGGATGGATCAGACTCGGATAGATCGGCATCCGACCAGCCAGCACCTAGGTCGACATGGAAACGCTCGAGAGGCAGGGTCATCGAATCCGAATCGGAATCTGAAGATGACTCAGAGGAAAGTCCTCCCCGGAAGCGGGTACGGATCGATAATCGCCGTAGTCGTGCCCTTCCCGAAGACGATGATGAGGAGAGAGAAACCCCATCCGGCGACGATGGCCATGAGGAACAGGGCGAGAAAGACACCGACCCCCAGGTTCAGGATTCCGAGGGTGAATGGTCCGGCATCGCTAGCTCCGACGACGATGAGAACCCCGCGGGAGGGGCGTCTCTTTCCAGACCCATGACTCTTGCCGAGAAACTGCAACAACATCGCGACAAAGTCCGGATTCCCGACTCCGGCGACGACGACCCTTCTGATGTGGAGGAGATGGGCAACGATGATTATGACGCCCGGAACTACGCCGACTTTCAGGATGACGAAGAAGGTGTCGACATTTCAGGGGAAGACGATGACGGCGAGCAGGACGAAGAATTCCAGGGTCCTGAGCAGGATGGAGAGCAGGACTACGAGGACGAATACTATTAATGAGTTTGTAGAAACTTTAACTGGTTGGTCTTCTTCTATTGCCCCTTGACATGGAGTATGGGGAACTCACCTAGAAGGGAACATGTACTTCATTCTATGTTACCCACTGTATTACCTTCGGACTGGCTGGGATACCTAACCAAATTTCAGGGGTGACTCCCTAAACGTCCTCATAGCTGCTATTACGCAAGCGGACGTCTGGTGACATGTATCACACAAGAGGCAAGCGCGGTTAGTAAGACGCTTCTAACAGGTGAACCTCCTCTCACAACCCCAACTGGGACTCAAAATCCGTGGGCGTTTATGGTATGGATGAATACATAAATCTATACCCCTTCAATGCTAATGGAGATCCGATCACGCATTTACAGGTACTTGTACAACGCCACCTCCTTCTCTCATGCAGACTATGACCCGAAACTGAAGAAGACCGTATAAACTTGGGCGTGAGCTTTCACGTTCACAAGGCAGGGCCTTCCCAGCTCTCCCTCCTCAATCTCCCAAACCAGGCCTGCTTGTGGGGAAATGCAATCTCCTTTTCCTTTGTAAAACCAGCCTCCTGAAGAAGTTGGATAAACCTAGGTACTCGCATCGTCAGCACAAAGATCAGACCAGAACCCAGGAGAGTCCCCAGGACAACGATTGGGGAGTTACGCACCTTGCATTATCAACCCTCGGCTCCAAACAAACACTCATCGTGCGATAATCCGCACAAAACACCCAATGCACCAGACTCGTAAGCCACGCCTGTACCCTCCCCCGCGCCCACTCCTCCCCAATGAGCACATGTAACCCCCGATCCCAATCATCAATAGTCCCCACACCCGCATACCGTCCCAACACGTCCTCCTTAACCCAGTACAGCTCGAAATACCCAAACGGCACGCCATCCCACATCCCAATAACCGGGAAACTGTGCCGACTCTTCAACGCATTACCCAACAACCCCGGAGCGTACTCGCCCCAGAACGCAGAGACCCTTGGGTTAGCGTACCACTTCTCAAGCAGCGCCGCGTCGGTGAGGGAACACAGCTGGGTGTGGGTTTGTGATGGTGGATTAGGCCCGACAGGTCCCAGGTAGGGCACTGGCTTAGGCGAGAGGGACGCAACACGGAAGGAGAGGTACTGGCCTACGGAGGGCAAGAAGCGGCTGTAAAACACCTCGCCCATGCGCGGGGGTTTGGGCCGGAGGGGATGGCGCACGTGGTTGGTGATTGTGTACTGCAGCGGTGCGGGGGGGTAGTATGTTGGGAGGTGGGACGCGCTGAAGAAGGGCCCGGTTGGAACTGGATGGGAGGGGGTGTCCATGAACGAGACAGTCTGACCCTCGTCCGCATCGGCAGTACGAAGGGGGTGATGAGACATAGCATTGTCCCCTCCCGGTCCTCCCGCCCGGGACTCCGGCCGGCTAGGGGTTGGCGAGCCGGGTAACGAGCGCGGCTTTGTGGTACCAGCCGGCTGGGCGCGCGGGGTGAACAGGAACAGCCGACCAGGAATCTGCCAGAACATTCTCCTTGAGACAAACATACTCGCCCAAGTGTCGTCTGTATCCTCCAAAGCCGTGCCCACAGCGGAATTGGAGCTCGCAATCAAGCCCATGCGCTCGAGCTTGGCTAGCAGGTTGTGCCCGCGCAGGACCCCGTCCCGCTTGATGCGAATGCGCCAGTCGCCGCGTGGCCGGCCGGCTTTAGGAGTCAGCTTGGAGGCTTCGGTCGTCAATGTGGCTGACGGTGGTTCCTGGTGGAAGTACCAGTACAGGGTCACCCAAAGCATCATGGCGATTTGGCGCGTCGGGCTGGCTGTAGGGTTGAAGTCGTGGTTTGAAGGGAGGGATATGGACGAGATGAAGAGGCTGTCGTTCTGCAGGGTTGGTTTTGTGAAGGCGTGAACCGCGTGGGTTCCGTTGCCCTGTGTGGTGCCCCTTTCGGAGCCGTCTTGACCCTTCTCTGGGTCTGTCCCATCATGGTGGTCCTTTTCATCGCTGCTGTCGCCTTCAGTGTGAATGACAATGGTCCAACCAATTGGGAACGGGCTGTGGTGCGTCGTGAGCTCGTTGGATTTGAAGAACAAACCCGCAAAGACGGGTGTGACGGTGATGGTCTGCCCGTCGGGCAGGTGAATGATTTGGGGGCTCATTGATATTGCCGCATTTCAGTGACGTCGAGATGTGAGGGAGGAATTGGCAGTATCGTTGGTTGAGCACCGGGCGTGGGGAATTGCGGGGCACCTCGCTACAACTGCAACAGTTGGCGGTCTTAATTTGAGATTGGGCAGGCAAAACACTGTAGGAGATATCCTTACATATGGGCGGTATTCCTAACAGTAGAAGTCTAGAACAAAAGCTACTCGACAAAAGTATGGGAAGTAAACGGTTGCGTCCAAGGAGTCAGGAGGAAGCTCCGTCATCCGTCACCTGTCTTAAGCAACATTCCTCGGGAGTCATAGTTAGCTCCCAACTGCCCCGCGCTAGAACAGGGCATTACGGACAATTACGGAAGCATGTAATCACTCCACAGTCCACATACCGGCAAGCGTGCTGGGAAAGAGACCGGAGGCACTCAATGTGCAGTGAAGATGCAGGTTCTCTTCAAGATGTCAGGCGACCCCGTCGTTGCCATGGTTTCATTCCAAGGCGCTGCAAGTCATCCAAGACGTAAAACTTTCATCGACATCAACCCACCCAGCAATGCCAGCATCACACAACTTGAACTCTATTTTGTATAGTCGGAGATCACGTTGATGGCCGCTTCAGGTCCCTAAGCATATTATGTCATGATTCGTCCGCGTCGCTCGCTTCATCCTTCTTCCGGCGTTCTGCACCCCCTGGCTCGGTCTTCTGCTTCTCGGCAGGCAGCGTCCCGTCTTTGGTGTTCCTTTCTTGATCCAACACCTCCTTCACCTCGTCGCCGACATCCATGGACTCGTCCCAGTCCACATCGTACTCCACAGCGATGGCCCGGATCTCGCGGCGCAAGGCGTTCGCCTCCTGAACCAGGTGTTCCCATTTTTCGGGCTCAAACCCTCGAGCTTCGTAAAGAGCATTCTGGCGTCGTGAGACCGTTACGTTCATGGCTGCCTTGTAGCTTAAGTCTTTGCTAATGTAAAGAAACCAGAGATATCCTCCCATGATCGTGGTCAGGCCCGCAAGGTAAGTTACCGGTTCGACGAGGTCCCTTTTGGCAACTATGTTAGTTACAGCATCCCCCATTCAGATAGAACCCTCCTCCATGATTCACACAAGCACTTACCAGCCAAACTCGGTATGAAACGTGACATAGTACACAACGCACCACCACCCAGTCAAGAGCGCAAACCCTCCTTTGGCCAGCCGATTCGCACCCCTATATGCCAGCAGGTCGCACTCCCGCTTGATATGAGACAGCTCATCGATTTGCCTACTCATTTTCCTCAGACGACTGCGCATGTAAAAGGTGCGATCGTTGAACGACGGGACGCTGACGCGCATCTCGCCATCGTGTCCCTCGATTTCAATGACGAACTCGGTCCCCCTCGCCGCATCACGAATGAAGTCGCCTATCTCGGTGCTGTTGCTCCAGCGGACCCAGTTCGTATCTGCTTTATCGCGCTCGGGCCCCTCGTGGCCGAGCCCCGAGTATGAGGCCACATGTGACAGGTCGTCGGGGTGTGACAGGGCCTGCTCATCGGTATCACTCGTCTCGGGCTTTCCACTGGCGTTGGTATTGTCCCCGACGGCTCGGAATCGTACACTAGGTGTGATCTCTTTGCCGTCTTTTAGGATCGGTGGGATCTCGGCTTGGACCAGACGCTCGATGTACGAAAGGGGTTGCTGCGGGTGCACCAGGAGTGCCAATGGCTGGTTTGCTTCATTCACCGATGTGGATCGGTCGGAGGCATTCTTCTTGGAAGTGGTGTCCCTGTCTTTGCTATTTTCATTGGGCAGCCAAAGGATGAGCTTCAGAAGCCGCGTTGGGGTGGTTAGGATTCTGCCTGAGCGATGCCGTCAGTTTCGCCAGTACCGAGTTTCGAGAGGGCTTTATGACCGCCAACCAAGCCAAGCAAAGCAACGGGGCTTGTCTTCACTCACCATTCGTAACGGACTTGGACTGCTGGCTGCCTTGGTTAATCCGTTGCTTGTCCGACTGTTGGAGATGTACTGAGCGCTTCCATTGGCGCTGTTGAAACGTTCCTTCTATCTCCCGCGTGCCCAAAGATCGCTGATCGGCTTTGTTGAACCTTGAACGCGTCGAATAATGCCGTGATGCTACGGATGCGACTGTTCGCGGAGGGAAAGAGCCATGTATGCTAGAGGGTTGGAATCCCCCGCATGAGGGAGGGCTCCAACGTGGCGGCTCATGTGTCACCTGGCGTTGTAATCGCCTGAATACATGGCTCATGGCGATTTCACTTGTCAGTCTCGGACATGTGAAGGCTTCCCAACCGAGAGAGAGACAGCTCCATGATTTTAAGTTATGGCTGGGCCAGCCGCTCATGTTGCGATGGGTGACGTCATCGTCGTCAATCAGATCGGACGTGTAACCTACCACGTGCTTGTGATGACGGCCCGTAGCGGTGGGGTTGTTCGCCAGCAAGCTGCTGGAATTGTGCCTCTGTTAAAGATTCAAAATGCAATCTAAAAGATCGGCAGTCGCTGGTCCGTTAAGTAGCGGCTTGGATATTTCTTCGCAACCAATATCTGTGTCAAGTGATGGGTGCGCCTGAGATGCGCCTCATAACCCGGGAATATATAGGTAATTTACAGTATTGTATGTAGGGCCGTAGGGCTGAACAAGTGCGTAAGATACAGAGCGATTACGGATACACTACACCGTACATATTGTCAAGAGTCATGTACTATAAATACACGTCACGGTACGGAGCCGGCTCCACCCCGCTGTGCATCTCGCAGTCCCTCGACCTCGGCCGCTTCGACTTCTCCCCCATCACAACAAAGGCGGCGGAGTGGGACGGTGGGCAATTTGCTGCACACCTGGGATGGAATTCCCAAACATTTACACGCACCGCAAGGTGGCCGAGACCAGTGCCAAATCATGCGACATTTGCTTCAAGCTCAGCTCCAGCGTCCTGATTACGCCCGATTCCAAGGTCGCGCTACCGTGCCAGCTGCCCCTCGTGCGACAGCGCACGCCACATAGCACGGATATATGAGCTGACCTCTGCGCAGGACTGGTTCTACGTCTGCCCCGCGCACCTCAAAGACCCTAACTTTTGCACGCCCAAGATCGACCAGGCGGCTATCGAGGCACGCAAAAAGAAGGAGCTAGAAGCCGAAATTGAACGTGTTAAGAAGGAGTACGAAGAGAAGCAGAAGAAGAAGAAGGCAAAGGCAGCAGACGCTGCGGCTGGGGAGAACAACAACACATCGGACGATAAGAAAGTCCAAGACGGCAAGCAAAGCGAAGGCGACAAGGACAAGAAGCAGGAAGACGAGAAACAACAGGCCGAGGCTCAAGCTGTCAGCAACCAACCGCCGCACCCCCGCGCTGCCGTGCTTGTTAGCTGACCAACGTCTGACCTACCCAGGCCGGTGAGAAAGCAGCATCCCCATCATCTCCCGTCGAGGAAGAGGAACCCCGCATATTTGAACTCAAGAGGTGGGGAAGCCGCAGATCCTCCCTCCATTGTCCAGCTTGCATGCCTTTGGGACTGATGGACTAATCTTCGCAGGACATTTTACCAGCAACGTCTGAACAAGAAGCGACAAGTCGAGATTGCCAAGCGCAACCGGGAGCGCATGCGGGACCCCAACTTCTTCCCGTCAGTTCCCAAGAGTCTGCCGTCATGATACATATGATTGTGTTCCAGGAGCCGAGATGAGGTCTGACGGCCGCTGATCGGCCGGGCCTGGACTCGGATCGTTATACAGCTGAGACGATTCATCAAATCGAATACGCGCTTGGCTCACAGGGGGTCAAGTGCTTGGTCGAGCAGAGGGTCCGTCGAGATGAACAAAGATTCCAGCCGGGTCCGTTGAGCCATGAGGACCTTTAGGTTTCGTGTCTTAGACCTTCCCTGGATTCGGCTGTGAGGTCCGCTCATCTCTTCCTACTAACTCCACTGATACCTTGAAGTGTGTGAAGGCTTAAAGAGAAGCGGGAAGCTTTTCTCGCCCGAGGCAGACGATTAACCTTGGCTTGTCTTGGCACGCCTCATGGATGGCGTGTACAGGAGACGCACTTTGTATCTATGGCGCGCTGGTTCCCACTTACACAAGTCAGTGGAGCCGTTCCGGGGCTCTGAGAAGTCAGATTGACACGCATGTACTAGTAGTATGCAAATTGGTCTGGACGTCGGGGTCAGGGGTGGGTTCGTCAGGACGGACACGGTTTGCTCCGTTTCCTTAACGACTTCCCGTCTTCTAACAGCCAAGAGCCTACTCCGTTTTGCGCAGTAGATACACGCAGTGTATATACATCACATTCATGGCATTACACATGTATTGCGTAGCATCGGTGGGAGTCTGGGAGAGACCTCCTGTGAGCCGGGCGGTCTACTTGCAGCTTGAACTTGAAGTTCGGACTTCATCTAGCACCGAATACCGGATCCGCAGTCGCAATCTCACAGACAAAGCTGCTTGCCAACTCCGCCTTGCAGTCTTACCATATCCCGCGGGCGATTGTTTATCCATCTGACCGCGAGCGTCCTACGGTAGGCGCTGAGGGTAGGTCCCATCTTTGTAGCGTCTTGACCAGATGTATGTATAGTGCCGTATTATTGGAATTCGGAATCGAGGGCCTCGACCCGCCGATCAATTCCAACCCGCCCGTAGCCGTTATTCAGCCCGGAGCTGGAAGACTCAAACCTGAGGTAGAGATGGTGTATAACCCGCCTCGCCCGTTCTTCTCATCCCACCCCAAGTACTGGCCGTGGTTGCATTGACAACGGTCTCCTCCTCATAAGGGTTTAGTGCTTACGAGGCGTGGTGTCACCGCATAGCACATGTTCGGCCTCGACAAGCAAGGAAACCACCTGTACAACTACAGTAAGCCGCTCCTCTCCCGATGCGGGTGAGATATGCCAAGCACGCCTGACGTGGCGTGCTGTCCAACGTGCTTGCCCCCCCCCCCCCCTCGCGTAGATCAGCGGCCCGAGAAGAGAAGTCACGCAACTTTAAACGGCCAGCAACTGCTTCCAATGTCGTCCGTGCTGGGAGCTGCCGTCTTGGGCAGTGCCTTTGGAGGCCACAGGTTTCAGATATCCCCCGATATTTCGCAGAACCACAAGCAAGCCGGCCACGACAGTAGATGATCAGCAGTGGTGAGAAGCCACGGTTGCGAAACGGATGGACGGGAAACACCTCTCGGGATCCGTCCTGAAGTAAGCCGCTGACCGTACGTCAGAGATGATATATTTATATGGTCCCGTGGATGACCGGTATGCTGCCCGGCTACTAACTCCACGCGGCATTCCCTGCAAGGATCTCATGCGAACGGCTCGTCTAGCGGTATTTCACCCGCGCTGGATTTGCTTGGGTAGGTATTGGAAGCAGAGGGTGAGCGGCGTGGAGGGTCTGGGGAACACTCCCCTCCCCCGGCCAGGGGTGAGAGTTCGATTCTTCGAACTTCAAGCTGCTGCAACTCCAGGTACCAGTTCGGCAGGGCAGCACACTCTCCCCGCGACCTCAAGCCTGCACGGTTTTGCTGTGATCCATGACCCGGCCAGGCGACTCAAGAGAAGGCAAGCCACTGCACAAAACAGCACGGGTTGGTGGCACCACGCCACCCGTCATGACCGGGAAGCCTGCGCGAGGGAATGCGACGAGGCCATCAAACCGGAGTATTCCGCATAGTACGCACCCCAATCCAGATGGCATTGCATCAAAGATTCCCCTTCTCTTCAATCCTAGTCCCCGCCGTGCCCGGCCCGGGCGGCATGCGGATCCCCAACGCGGCCATCCGCCCGGCAAGCGCCGCTGCACCATCTGCACCACCGTGCCGGGTCCCACCAGCCATGACCTCGTCGACTTTAGTTCTCTGCAGCGAAAACGCCGGCGCTACCCAGTCGCCACAGCTGCACTTGAAGCCCTGCCAGGCATACCGACCAATGGACGCAGCACACTTGTTGTTTGGGCAAATCAGCCGGCCGTCTAGAGCGCCTTGCTCCAGAATCGGGCGCATCCACGAGAGAGCCTCAACGAAGAAATGCGGACAGTCGCTCCGCGCTTCATTCCCCTTGCCCTGATGGGGGATTATAAATGCCCTTGTAGCGAGCACCCGCCGGCATTTCTTGCATCGGAGCGCCATTTCTTGCCCACCACCGCCCTGACTCCCAGCATCAGCTTCTTCTGATACTAACGCCTGCTCCTCATCCTCAAACCGGATCCAATCCGGCGCCCTTCCAATCCTCGCGGCGTCATCAACCTCCCGTCTATAAAGCCAGCGCTGGTAAATCGTATGCCTCTCAACCGCATCGTCGCTGTCGGCGGGGCAGCCCAATTCACACCACATCTCAAGCTGGCGCATGAAGCCATCGTTGGGCTCGGCGACAGGTCTGGTTTCGCGCACCCACTTTAGTGCCTGTGCTACTGCATCCCGGGCTGTTGCTTTTGTTGTTCCCGGGTTGGGGTTGGAGTTGGAGAGGCCGAAGCGATGCGGGTGTTTCCAGAGAAGATAAGCGATGACGGCCGAGACGGAGCGGGATTTGCCCATGGCGCAGTGGACTAAGACGGCGCCAGCGCCATGCGAGGAGGAAGCGGCTGCGCCCGAGGTAGGAAGGATAATGTCGGAACCGGAGCGCGAAGGACTCGGTGGTGTTTTTGCCCCGCGGCCCTGCAGACCTCTTTCAATGAAGCGCACCATTTTCGGGAGGTGGACAAGGATGTCCTGATCCTCCATGTCGTCAATGTCGATACTCAGATGTTCAACGTCTCGATAGGCATCATTGTCGCGGTCTAATTTGTACTTGATGACGGACAGGATGTGGGTGATCTTGACCTTCTGGATTAGTCGGGCGCGATGGACCCCAAAGATCCTGCTGACTGTGAGTCTCATGGGCTTTCGAACCAGCTAATGGTAAAACGTCAAGGACGGCACTCACCCTCCGACATACAGTTCCTCATCCCCCCTAATGCGATTAAGAGCCATGTTGCTGATCCTGCGCGATCACTGGCAGCCTTTTAGGTTGATGGTTTTTCGTTGCACCTTGTCACTGAGCAAGACGCTTCGCGGGGTTGATTGTAATCTTTTTAGTAGGTCTTTTGTCTTATCAGCTTGCCCCGCATCGAAGGTGTTCGGGCCACTCAGGGCGGGGCTGCAGCGCCCAACAAGGTTACACAGCTCCTGTACAGTACGTACTGTACTGTACCATACATTGTTATTCAGTACGTTAAATACCTGAGGTGTCCATGGAAGGGCGCTATAGAGAAAATGTAGGCTTCCCTGTACTGTATGTACACATCAATGTACTCAAGCATTTGAGGAAGGGCATACTGATCGGGCTCTTGGAAGGTAGATTGATATCTTCCCGGGTTGAACGCTGGAATATATTAAGTGCTTCATAGGTACTGTACTCTATCCAAGTACTCATCTATTCTTTTCAAAAATCACAATGTATCGGCTCCCCCCCATGCTATATTACCCTTGGCACCTTCAAACGTATTCCTTGGGTATTGCTATAGAATCTCGACAATCGGATGCAGCATTGCGTTTTAAGCGTCCAAGGTCATAACTTCGTTCAAGCGGCCGAGCTAAGAGTTCGAGTACACAGGTGGAAGGACTCGAACTGAGGTAGTAGCGCTATTGCTACTAGGCTGAAAGGCAGGCATCATATCGTTCTGGTTGGCATACATCTCCCCGTTGAAGGGACATCTCAAAAAAAGAGATGACGATGTAATGCAGCTCCTTCGGAGATAAGACTCCAGGAGATCTGTCGCCTTGCACAACAAGGCCGACAACATCAGGCGTCGACCGTTCGACCTGCCGGGTGAAGGCGCAGGTCGAGAAAGAACTGGATGGACATACAGTACAACAATGAGGCGAAACGCGCTTTGGTGGCGGGAGTAGCAGCGGCGACGGCGAATTGATGACTTGGTTGTGTCGTTGAGTGGTATGAATGGCTGATATACGACTCTCCGCCTGGACACGCATCGTTTGCATAGGATCGGCCAAGGTCCCAGGTTTTTTCTATGCGGGAAATCCTTCCTGTTCGACTGCAGGAGCGGGGGCCCTGATCCATCCAACCGGCCCGGGCACGCAACTCCCTCCTTCCGCATCTGAACCAGCCATTTCCTTTAACATTAATCCAGATTCATCCAGTTTCGCCCCATCCTGACTTGAAGCGTTGACCATCTCCTCAAAGCTGTTGACCAGCTGAACCGCCACCATACAATATGACTGCTTGCAGTGCTTGGGGCCATCGAGGATGAAGCAGGCATTGTTGCAGGTGACATCTTCAGCGCACAGCGCTCTCCGCCTTTGCCCGCAGCAGTGGGACCGTTGGAAGAACCCGCTCGCCATTGTCCGAATGCCAGAGGTGCAATCGTCGACGCAAATCGACAGGTACCAAGGGGAAATTCCAACGTGCAAGAGCGAGTGGGCAATCCTTCTAGAAAAGGTGACGGGTTAAGGAATCGCACACCACAGGTGATTTGTAAGGTGCTGGCCCCCGTTGCTCCCCTGGCCTGAGCGCATGCGGGCCATCTATCTGTCGTCACGCAGCAGGATGCTTTTTCATCTGGTCCCGGCAGGGGGGTCTTCCTCCATCATACAGGCATTCTCCAGCATGTTTGTCCATTTCCCACTGGTGCCGGCATGACTATGCTTGAGATGCTGGCGGAAATGGTCGGCCCGGTAGAACTTTTTGCTCGAGTTGCACTCGCGGAATTTGTGAACGTCCTGAAGGTGGCGGACCCGCTCTTCCAGATCCTGCTCGCTCATACAGACCACGCCCTGGTTCTGGCCGGTCCTCGGGAACTCCTCGCCACAGTAGCCGCAGATATCGACTTCACCGGGTTTCGTGGTGCTGTCGTGGAAGGCTCGCTCGTAGCTCGTTAAAGCCGAACATGACCAGCTGTGTCGCCGGACATGGAGGGAATTTTGGTGCCTCTCGGCTTCGTTCTTGTTCTTGAAGCGATTCCCGCAAAACGAACATTCGTATTGCTTTTCGGCTTCGTGGAGTCTGTGTGACAATGATGTTAGATCATTTTATTTCATTTTATATATATTAGGGGCGGAGCAAGGGAAGCTGGATCTACGTGTTGAGACACATTTGAAGAGCAAAAGATTCGCGGAAATGATAAGACTGAGGAGGAAGAGGGTTTTTAGATAACCTGGAAAGCTCCACGTACCTTAATTCTTCCTCCGTCTCAAATTTCTTGGGCTTCTTAGGGCAACATTCGCACATCCAAGGGCCCTTCAGCTTGGCAGCTAGGGTGCTCGAATTCTTGGGAATCTCTGCGAGCTTCCGCGGTGAAGTCACGGAGCGAGCTGTCTGTACTGCCATCGGCTGCTCGCTCCCCATCCGCTGGCGGGGCGACTGCGTCGCGCTGGATCGTCCGATCGACGGGCGGGAAGACGCGGAGGCAGTCAACGGGGTTGCGTAGGGACTTGCACAACCCATGGGGTCGGTCGGAGACAAACCGGCGGGAGACAAGGGGTTTGGTGAGCGACGCCCAAATGAACCTATGCTCGTTATACTGCTGGTGGTGAGGTTGCTGGCAAAGCTCCCACTTCGGCTTATTGTGGATATGCTTGATACCGAGTTCTGAGGCATGACGAGTAACCTGGGCGTGGGCGAGCCCCTGGACATGAGGCCGCAGTCCCTCCTCCTGAGCAGGTCGTTTGCAAGAGGCGCATCGTCACTAGGCGGTGATGACGCGCGGCGCTTCTGGCCTGGCTGGTAGCAATCCCTTTCTCTGTCCCTCTCTCGCTCCCAGTCGCGGTCGCGGTCCGTATCCCTCTCTTTCCACTGGTCCTCGATGTTCAAGCTGCGCATGCGTGATGTCTCTTCCATTGGGAAATCTGTCTCGTCTTCGCGAACGTCGTAGCCGCCGTAGGCCATTCCCGGATTGTCATCCTGTGACTGGACGCTATGAAGTCTCTGACTGCGGTGCAAAGGCGAGCGCTCCATGTCGGGCCCACCAGGGCCAAAAGGCAAGCGATAATCCACTGAGTCGCGCCCGGTATGGCCGAAGGGAGCGTGGATTGGTGACGTCGCAGATATTGCGCCGGGCGACTTTGTGAAGCCCGAGTCGAGCAGCGGTTGTTTGGTCCGATGCGGCAAGGAGAGAGTCGTGAGCTGGGTGTGGTTCGGACGGCCGGGGTGGAGCAGATCGCCTACTGACGCGCTCAGGCCAGATCGCCGGGCGGGCCGGTTCAACCGGTTGAGCATCGAGTTGTCGATCGAGTCGCCATTGGGACGGAAGCTATTCATGGTGTGGAGGCCGAAGGGTGAAGGCAGGTCAGGCGGGGATCTGAAGTCCCATCCGAGTGTCAGCTCAACGAGAAACAGGTCGTCCTCGGCGCACGTAACAGCACAAACCTGAAACTCTCGAAGCTATGATACGCTTCGTCGGGGAAATCGCTCTTGAACGTCCTGTCGCGCCGCGAGAAGCTCATGCCGAGGGAGTCACTGTACGCGCTCGAATAGTCTTCCTGGCCGCGCATGTTCTCCTTGGTTTGTAGACTTTTATCAACCGGGCCGTTGATGGGAACCAGCCGAGGGGGCGGTAACGGCGGGGGCACATCTTGCAAGTCCACACCGCGTATTGCCATGGGATTTGAGGCGGCCGACGGGGACAGATTGTCTGGGAACGGGATGCCACGGCTGGGAGGCCCAAAGGGTCGAGCGGAACTCTCATCGCGACTTGATATTGACGGCAGAGGACTTGTACTAAAATCCCTCTGCCTGTATCGCGACGACGCTTGAATTGGGATAGCGGCCATTGCGTTGGAATTTCCGAGACTGCGCTGTGCGCCAGTCAAGCGGGTTTGGAGTGGGAATCGAGAACCCTAGGTGACGACCGACTGGACTTGGGAGACCCGACACCGCCTGGCTGGTAGAGACAGGCACAGCTGAACCGCGAGGCGACTGTCGCCTCGCCACCGCCTCCACTTGCGTAGTCAGGTTTTTAGCTGAACCAAGACCAATAAGGGGGCAGAAGAAGCAATTGTCCCAAGACTGGATTTTGGCAGGATACCAGTCGTCCTCAGCCGTCCAGGGCGATCCCGAAAGATCCGCCTTGCTGGTGGTTGTCGATTCGCCTCGAGCCGGGATTGGCTGCGACCAGTGCCAATTCGCCGGCAGCACGCGAGCGCCGGGCGCAACAAATTCGCAAAGGGGATGATTTAGGGCTCAACGTTTGGGACCAGAAAGGCAGCAGGCGACGATGGCAATCGGATCAGTTCCCGGCTGTAGAAAGAACCAGGGCAAAAAAAAGGGTTGGAAGCGCTCGCCCAGCTACACAAGTTCTGTCATCCAAGCCATTGGAGAAAGTGTGCTGAGGGGGAAATTGTAAGTCCTAGGGGGTCCAGCGCCGCCGAGCAAGGACAGTGTTAGTCAGGCGACTGGGGACTGTCTGTGGGCGAGTCGGGTCAATGGATTCAGCCTAGTCGATGGTGGAGCCGGTGCTAGTGTAAACCCTCACTTGTCAGCTGAAGTGGGCATGCTTGCGCTGCGCAGTGTAGGTATGGATCTCGGTGCTGGGTTGAAGATTGACAAAAAGAGGAATGAGAGGCCGACGACAACTTCCATGGAACCTGGAAGCAACGGTGCCGCGGCCAGGTCAGGTAGCGATTGATGGAAGGGTAAGGTACTCCGTACGGAGGTAGTTTTTTAGACCCAGGTAAGCTCGGTGCACAAGAGCCGTACATACCTTATTAGATACATCAATGGCCCGAGTGTTTCCTAAGCGCGGTCCGTAGGGCTGTCAGGGAACACGGGAAGTGGCTGCGTCGGGTGCAAAGTTTGGCTGGGTACGAAGTAAGATGAAAAAGAATGGAAATATGAGAGACAGCAGACCGGATGTGCGTCGAGCGAGGGTACACATACCTTCCGTACCCCAACCAGAATCCCAGCTTCCTTACGTTACCCCAGCCAGGTCTTCCACGATGGAAATGAAAAGGAGAGAAGCAGCGGCACCCATCTGCAGACGCGGTGACACTGGTGGACTCTCACTTGCGCCATCGAGGAGAACGGCCAAAGTTGATCCACTCGTTGACCGCCCACTGCTTCAGCCCTTCAAAGCCCAGCAAGGGTGCTGCAGTGGCCTTGCGGGGTTTAGTCTAGGGTAACATCCCTGCCACCTCCATTTTGCACCTCGCTTCCACAGTACGTTGGGATTCTCCTTCCTCGATTACCTGGCCGACATTGCTCGGCTGGACGTTGGCGGGGTTGGGCATCCAAGTCATGTTACGGTGTATGTACTCCGTACTCGGCAACTTGTCCATCTGCCTCAAGGTACTGCTGATTACTGGCACCAGCGGGATGGGCACCGCGGGCCTACGTCACTTTCAATTCCCGTAAGAAATTCGCCCGCGGCGGACTTAGGGCTGAAGGCGGTAATGAATTACACGCATACCTCGGTTGTGCAGTACAACGGCGGTACAACATTGTAAGATACCCGTATCAGTACTAGTGCTAGTGGTCAAAGTACAGTGTTATAAATGTCTGGTACTGTACTGTACACCGTACTGCAACAACGAGAACCCCCTTTTTTGACTCCTGAGCTAGAATGGCATCGAGATGAACGCAGAAATGGCAAAAAGGACAAAAACACATTAGTATAGCTCAAGGAACCTCTAGTAAACCACTTCCTCATCCACAAAATCTGCACAAAAAAGATCAAATGGACCGTGTATACGAAGTACAACGAGTACATGTGTACGGAGTAGTGAAGGTCAGTTAGATTCTTTTCCGGACCCTGCGGCAAGACAGTCCCGAGTCGTTGGGTAACATTGGCGACCGTAGGCATGAAAGTACGACGGGATCTTTGCTGCAGTGCGCCGTTCTAGTGGGGGGCTCCAAAATTCTCCTTTCGAAGATGCTAGCAAGATGTCTCATCGTTATCAAGAGTAAAAGATCAAAGGAAATATATACCGGTAGTTGATCAAACCTGTGTATGCAACAGTAAACGTAAACGCCATACCTGTCAGCTAACAGTTTCAATACCTAGGTATGCTACAAGCCTGATGTTGAGAGACAAAGCTGACGGTCATTCGGACCAATCCAAAAGGGCGAGGAATCTGCGACTGAGGTATTCGGCGGGTTTCCAGGCTCTCGGTGGTGTCGAGGTATTTTCACTGGCATTCTCTGTCGGCGTACATGCCGAAGTAACGGTATGCAGTTGGAGCTGCAGGCGTAACTTAAGGAGCGTTGAAGTTGTCAAAAGTCCCGGTCTGCTTGAATTGCCAGGATGGGATGACTTCGCAAGCAGACCCACGGTCGCCCTGTAAGGCAGGTCCCAAGTATGTTACACTATGGCGGGGCCTACAGCTTCCACTTGATTCTCAGATGCCAGATAGGAAACTCGAACCTAAGGACAAGATAAACTCATCGCCGAAGTCAATACTAGAAAGCGGTAACTGACAATCATGAGACATTCAATACCGAGAATTACTCCGTGTGCACTAGTACTAATCTATTCGTGCACTAGTCTCTCATGAGGGTTAGGGTTATAGCTGGTGCATCCGCACCCTCATCCCCCCCTTTCTGACTTGCGCGCACCCATCTTCCTGCTCAACGCGAAGAGTGGCTCAAATGGCTCAATTCGCTCGAATACACTTAAATCGCTGGAATACACTTAAATTGCTAGAATGCGCTCAAATCGCTCGAATACACTCAAATCGCTACAGAACGCTCATATCCATACAACGTATATATCCACACAACGTAACCTCTCCCGTAACCTCGCGCCCGGTCCTTACCTCCTTGCGCATTGCCCTGCCCTCCCTTCCTCTCCGCCATCCTCACCGGCCTTCCGCTTGTTCTTGGATCCCGGAGGCCGTCCACGCCGTCTGGGCTATGCCTCATGGGGGGACTAGTGCACGAATAGAATAGTACTAGTGCACACGGAGTAATTCTCTTAATACCAGTTGCCAAGGCTGAGGTATAGTGACTCGTCCATGTGCACAAATGCACTGGCCATTATAAGTTACCAATGTAGTTTATGTAGAGTCGTCCTCCTCCATGCCCTCTCCATCATCCGCCCTTTCGTGGTCTTCATCATATTCCTCCTCGTCCTCCTCACTTGACTCCCCTTCCCCTTCACTATCTCCCTCACTTCCAGGGTCATAATCCTCCTCCAACTCGTCTTCCTCATCCTGCAGCCGCTGCTCGGCCTCGCGCTCTGCAAGTTCCAGTGCCGTCATCCCCCCTGCGTCTCCTTCGGCGTGCTCATTGCCGTCGTTATCACCTTCACCTTCCCCAGCAGCCTTCTTCGCATTCTCAGCCAGTTCGCGCTTCGCCTTTCTGCGTTCTGCCATGCTCCGGTCTGCCAGGCCATGTCGGCGCACATAAGTCTCGTCAATCCCCTGGTAATCTTCCTGATCGAGCATAGCAAACTCAATCTCTTTTTCCAGGCTGCTATTGGCGTCCTCGGGGTCTTCTTCCAACTCCACGACCATGTTGAAGGTACGTTGCAGGACATTGGTGTAGCTGACCGCCACGATGCGCTCCAGCGGCAGGAAGAGGAGCGGCTTTTTGAACCCCCACAGGATGCCTGTGGGGAGGAAGAAGAGAAATCCATCCTTACTCCCGCGAAAGGCTTTCACATGCACCGCCTTTTCGTTCGGGCGGTGGGGCTGTCGTACAACGCTGTGAAATATCTTGGGGTCTGAAGCGATGAGCTGGCACGAGTTGTTTCCCGCGTTACGCATAGACATCGTGAGAGCCCAGTGGAACAGACTGCTGTATGTGTCAGAAACCGCCTCGGCTGTCTTGGCTAAGGGGCCCGCGATGCTCCCAGGCTTCGGCGCGGTGACTGGGACTGTGTAGACGAGCGGCTCAAGCGACTGCGGCTTGTCGGCCACACTGTTGGTTTGTTTCGAGATCGGGAGGTAACTGTTCCGCGGGAGGAGAACATAGTTGTATTGGGCTTGGGATTTATCGGGGACCGGTAAGTAAAATGCATGTTCTACAGCTCAAGAGGTTAGCAATGCTGTAGGAGATTGGAAGAGGGAAGGAGGGAGGTCACGGACCAATGTCTTTCCACGGATATACAATGCCAGCCACAGGGGTTGATGAGCCTGGGGCCCGGGCATACAGAAAGTTCTTGGTAAAACAGAGGTCGTATTTCTTGCGCTGCGGCGCCGTAACTGAAATATCCTTAATCTCGAGCAGCACTTGCTCGACAACGGCAGCGTCGGTCCCCAGGCCGGAGGTCTGGGATGCCGCCAGCGACTGCCCGTTCAACGTGTTCTGGTTTGACTGTGCCTGCGCTGGCGATTGTGCAATCTCGACCCGTCGCCTCTTGGGGTTGGGTTCGGCTTGATTGTCGGTGGAGGATAAACGCTGATATACAAAGCTCGCAATTTCGTTGAACAAGGTCGTACGCGTTGGGGTATCTAGGAGTACCAATCATCAGCTTTTTGCCAGACAGATCTTCGTTGCTTCTGGTGGCGTTTGCGGGCGTGCCCGCAGCTTTTCGCCTTCCCAACTTATTGCGCAAACCGCCGAGTCACGAGCAGGACAATGATAGTAGAAACGTACCGGCGGCCCTCTCAATACCCGCTAAGATATCCGGTCGTGTCTGGAAAACGAGCCCGAGGGTCTGAACGTCTAGACTTGCCGCCATGGTCTGGTGGTATTGTACAGTACAATACGTTGGGGCAGCTGAGAACTGGATGGTATAGTCAGGGATGGTGATCGGCCAGCGTCAAGAGCGTTTTGGCAGTCCGTCTTTGTGCTATCAAGGTCGCGGCCCTAATCAAAAAAACGTGGTGTTTGTGACGGGCTGATTCGTGATCGCGATTGACGCGTTGGAAGTGCGGGCGTATTGCTGGCTGGACGCAGGGCCGGCGGTAATTAGGGTGGTATTGTACGTTACATTACGAAAATACCCAATGATAAATTTACTTCCTTTCCCTGATTCAGTAACAGTCCAATACAATACATTAAGTGTCACAAATCGAACCTCCCCTTCCACTCAGGTCCCCAGTCACATAAGTCTGTCTTTCTTACATTGCCTTCTGGTTTGTACTCATGTGCTCTAGCTTACTACATTCAAATCACAAGAGAGAAGAAACAGAGTAACAACAATGGGCGAACGTGTATTAACGTATATGCGTTCATGAGTATTGCGACATCTTGAACTGAATCAACAACACACCTTCCTCTCTGTCTCTCGGGGTGGAACCTGAAATATATAATATGATTGATGATACCAACTGAGATACCAGGGAATCTCTCATGAAGTGTTCCCTTTCGTTCCTTATTGCACGTCTTCATCGTAGTGCCTCGAGAAATCCAACGACTACCTACCTGCTCCCAAAAAAGGCAGTGCAGGTTGATCAGGACGGTACAGACCGTACCCGACACTCCCTATATACATGACTAACAACCTGATGCTACCCCAGAGTCCAGTCCATCACAGATCCACCGACAACAGCCCCTGGATTACCGCTGGTCCAGTGCCAGGTTTCAAGTATGTATGTACAATACATACAACCAGCCCGCCATTAGTCCTACTATTATAAAAAATATCGAAACAGGGGAGATTAGGCATGATTTAGTCAAGATACTGAGAGAATTGTACCCCAAGACTCAAACAAACAGAGCTGCCGGCTTATCTGAACCGTTGATACTCGATACACAACCGGACCTCCTGAATGGTTCGGCTTGAGGACATTTAATTGTACTTCTAAGGGGTAGGGTAAGTATCTTCACTAAGGTATCAATGTATGTAGCTCACCAATTCCTCGTTTGTGGCTGCCCTGGGGATCTCTACCGGGGTCTGTTCAGTCTATCCCATCCCTATCTCCAGGTTTTTGAGCCCCTAGTACTCTCGTTCCCTCTTACTTCTAGGCTCAGTGCTCGATTCACATTACAATTCACCTTAAGCCTAAGTGCGAAGCAGGGTCACTCTATTCCGTCCAGTTCTGAGCGCGTTTCATGTCCTGATCCCGAAGGTGTGTTCCAGAAGGGCGTTCCCGGTGTGTTCAAGCTGTTTGGATATGTATAATGTAGGTAGACGGAGGCATCTAAGGACAGCAGGAGGCGGATGATAGGCAAGATCTACGCATTATCGCCACAATCTAAATGACGCCCAAACAATAGTCGTGCCTTTACTGGTAGGTTCTAGGTAATTAGTCACTGTTGCTCAAAGAATACTAACCGTGACATGAAGCTGAGAGGTGCCTGTCTAAGTACGGATCTACATAGAGAGGCCCGAGGCAAACTCCTCAAACATCTTCTCCACCGTCTCCTTGGCCTCCAACATAGCCCAATGACCGGTATCAAGCGTCTCAATCTTCAGATTATCTTGAGCCGCTTCCCTAGTCATGTGCACCTGGACAGCAGGGATGATGGCGTAGTCCTTGGTCGTAGCGATAAACAGGGTCGGTACCGTAATCTTCTGGTCCTCAGAGCTGAGGTCCTGGTCCTCCTTTGCAGGGTCGAGAAAAGCAATAGCCTTGTACCAGTTGAAAACGCCATCGTAACCGCCCTTAAGAATCCGCTGATGCGTCGCCAGCTCCTCAGGAGAGATCCAGTCGGCGACAGGCAGCTCTTTTCCTGCTTCGAGAAACTTTTGCAGAGCGCCTTCGGCGCAAAGATGCTCTTTCCAAGCCTCAGGGTCTTTGGCGAACATCAGAGAATCAAACGCACCAGCGTTCTTCTCCACCAGAGACGATCCCTCAGAGGAGAGGAAGACTTGCATATAGCCTGATGTGCTGTATCCGAGCATCTGCTTGGACACCGCTATCAGGGTATCTACATAGATTTGGTGTCAGCTACAAACATCAGGGGACTTGGTATCCACGGCCTGCCCAAGATATTCGTAAACATGGCCACATACCGAGATTCAACCGTGTATCAACAATGGTGAAACCCGCAGCAACAAAGATCAGCCCACTAAAGAGCTCCTTATGGTGCACGTATAAGTGCGACAGCAGAGGTGAGCCACTACAGGCGCGTGTCAGATCAGCGAAAGCTAGTATCAAACCTACCTATACAGGCAGGCAGCACTTGAGGAGTTGCTCACAAATCATGCCCAACCCCAATCACCTTCTCAACCCCAACCGCCTTGGTCACCAACTCATAAACCTGCGGCACCATGCGACTGAACTGGTACGCCTCAAGCGCTTCCGGCCGGTCCGTGTCCCCGTAGCCGAGGAGGTCGGGCGCAATGACACCGAAGCCAGCCTTGGGCAAGAGCTCGATCTGGTGGTGCCAGATGTAGCTTGAGCTCGGCGCGCCGTGGAGCAGCAGGAAGGTCGGCTTGGATGGAGCGGCGGGGGGGACATGGATATAACCGTATGTGGTTCCGTCGCTCAGTGTGGCCTTTTTGGCGAGGGTTGGGAACGCGAGGGATGCCATGGTTGTTTACCAGGAGTAGGCGTGTATACTGTAGACTACGTGAGTTAAGGGTAAATGGTGATAGAAAGGTGGGAATGGCTAGGAGTGGAATCAAAGTGAGCTAGCAGGCAGTCACGGTCTATATCACCAAGTGCGGGACTCTGAATGGAAATACCCCATCCAGCAGCCAACTTCGCCTAAATCCAATCTTCGAATCTAACGGCCAACTCCTTCCAGATCCTCCAAGCGTGTGTAGTGCGTATGGATTACATGCACCTGACCAAATCCTTGATCCTTCAGCGCCCGCGTGCGATCAAGATGTACCTCGGACTTGCAGCTGCCGAGAATCCGAGAACGAGGGGTGTCCAGTCGTGCTTCTCCATGTCACTGACGATAAAGCTGAGGACAAATGTTATTGGATTAGGATAGACGGTAGATGCCTTGCGTGTGTCAATATCTCTAGTCCTACCAGACATATAACCAAGATGCTATTCCAGAACGCAGTGGCGTTCAAGGGGAAAGGGCCTGGGGAAGGGCCCCGGGGGGTTGAGTTGGCAACATGCAGCCTGTCTTTTCCACCTCGCAGCATTGGAGATGTCTCAGAACAAGTTGAGGCGACTTCACAAAGTTGACATTGAGAGGTAGAGAGCACGTGAGATGAGGCGCCGCCAGCATCAGGAGTTGGCTAAGCCGGCTGCACGCAGTGAATGTCTCCTTTTCTCACGAGAATTGCGTTTCAACGATTGGACACAGGATCTTTTCCCAACTCCAAGCCCTAAACGCCACCAATGTAACCTCGGGAGTCGGAGGCTCGGTTCAGGTTGCACCCTGACGTTCTCGTCAGAGCTGATCTGGATCAGTCCGGCACCAGCGCCAGCATAGAGCCACGTATCCACGATGTCGTGATGGCGGCTACGTATGTATTGTACATACATACGACACATGAGAGAGAGAGTGAGAGAAAATCAAAGCCCCCTGCTCTACCGGTTTCCTTTCCGCTGCCATCCCGTCTTCCACTTGCTCCTGAAGCGCGGCAAGATGTGCGCCTCGGTGTTGAAGACGACCTCGTGCAGCGGCAGGAAATCACTCGGCGAGAAGAGCAAGTACAGGTACTTGAGGGTTTCAGCCTGAGCAAACATGAACCGTCCCGGTTAGCTATGTCCAGTCTCTGATGTTGCAGCGTCCCGCAAGGTACAATGCAAAGGGGTATCCTCACCAGCCAAAAGCTCTCCATGTTATCCCGGAACGGCGGCGGGATCTTATTCACATCGTTGACCGACGTGTAGCCCTTATCCAAACCAGCGTTAGTCCACTTGTCAAATGCCCTGAAGATCTTCCATCCCCATTCGCGGTACAGCAGGTCCTCCGTCACGCGCCACATCACGAACAAGCTCTCAACCGTCTCGGGCCGCTGCAGGTTGTGCGCGTCCAGCGGTTTGATGACAAAATCCTCCCTCCACGCAGCCAGCGAGTCGCGCTGCATGCGACCGCGCAAGTCGCTGCTCCGAGTTCGGTTCAAGTTCCCCTTGGGCCGCGGGCGGAGGTCTTCCTCAGCAGCATCGAACCACACAATCTCGGGAGCCAGCCCCGTCAGCGTCACGGCGTACATGCCCCAGCACGTCTTCATGAGCTCCCCCGCGAGCTGCATCTGCTGCTCCTTTTCTGGCGTCCAGAAACCCCCGGGCCGGGCGCGCGCCTCGGCCAGAGTGTGGCCGCCTGTGACGCCGAGCGCGATGGCGCCCGGCAGGAAGCACACCAGGTGATCCATCTTGGGCGAGAGCTTGCCGCCGATGCCCCGCGGCAGCTCGGCGACGAATTTGAGCCCGCTCCTGCGCGTTGTCGTGACCAGGTGGGTCTGGATCCCCGCGAGTGCCTCCTCCCACATGTCGAGGTAGATGGGCTCGTCGCCTGAGGTCTGCAGGTATTGCTTGATGAGATATTCTACATGTATGTGCAGCTTGGGTCAGCCAGAGGCGATACAAGGAAACTGAATTGCGGGCGGAATGAACTAACTCACCGTAATACGAGTCACCACGACTGCCAAGTCCGATCTCCGGTGTCGTGAACTGGCCAGTCTCCGGGTGGACAAAGATTTGTAGCAGCCCGGCTTCCTTGGCATTGTCATCCAGCACCTGCATCACCTTCTCGGCCTTGCGCCAGTAGCGCTCGTCGCCCGTAAGGTGCGACAGGTATTTCATCTCGAGCTGTAGCGTAGCCGCCTCGGCCATGGACGACGCGCCGCCGTCGGCGTGCGATGGTAGCCCTTTTCTTCTGCCGAGGTGCACGCTCGCGTAGGGGATGCCTGAGCGCGACTCGTACGCGGGCAGCAGGTGGTCGGCCAGTTCAACCGCCTTGGCCAGGTAGACAGTGTCGCGGCGCGAGGCCACGTCAGGCAGGCGGCCGGCGAGGTAGTGTGCCCCGAGCAGCCCGCCCAACATGCGGATGGTGGTCTCAAAGGTGCTGACATCCTGGTCTTGGTCGTATGTCAGGCTGCGGTGCAGCCACTTGCGCGACTCGGCCAGTGGGCCCGTCAGGTTCATGACCATCATGGTGTCAAGACTGTCGACAATGATCCAGCCCAGCCCCTGAGGGCTCATCTGCGAGCCCCGTGCCGTGACGGGGTGGTACCGGTCTTGACCTGGGCAGCAGTCAGTGTCTTCAAGTTGTGTGTATGCCAAATACTGTGAGACGTGAACTCACCCCAGGCATACTGCGTATAAGCCTGCCAACTTGCGGCGAACGTCTCCTTCACTGCCTCGCGCCGAGCGTTCCAGTCGACGGCAGACGCTGTGTAGTGGGAGAAGCCGATGGGGTTGTCAACAACCCACCGGTTTACGCCCTACCCAACGGCGGTGGCGACGGCAATTGTGGCCAAGCCGTACCGCACCGGCGACGGGATGCGCGAGCCGGCCGGCCGACGCACCTGCTTCCGTGATGCATGTTCTTTTTGATGTGCCATCTCTGCTTGCGGCTGCCCAAATATCGGTGGCTTGGTTGCAATTGCAAAGGAGACAATGTCTGTTTATGCGGCCGATGGCCGTTTTCCCCTTTTCTTTCTTTTGGACGGACCCGAGAGAACGGCACGGGCCGGCTCGTTGGTTCGTTGCCCCTTGGTTCGTTGGTTCCAGTTTACGCCAATGTCGCCCCCGAGCAAATTATCTAGGTACTTACTTCCTCGATAAATGTATTCCTCTGCTGTGTCCCGGCGTCACGTTCCTCATTACCCACAGCCCCTTTTCTTGCGGTGCGAGGGAAATCGGCGTCCTCGGGCGTACCATTTGAGGCCAGTCACCCGCCATGTCGACATACCCTCCCGAGACGAACGACGGAGTCGTGACGTCTTGGGTGCCGCTCACAAGCACATTCACACCATCCGTAGGATGCGAAAGTAAATACCGTCTCAACGGGCCGAGCCTGGTGGCCTACGACCCGGGCTACGGCCTTGATATCGATAGGAATGTCAAGTGTGGACCGCCAGCCGTGACAACATGGTGGGAACAGGGACGACTGGGCGGTGGCGATGGTGAAGGAAACACTGCCGCCAGTCTGGGGCCGGTGACATGCCCCAACGCGTGGACGACGGTGGCCTCACCAATCACCGGCTCGAGCACGCAGATCATGTGCTGCCCGCCGTGAGTGGTTCAATCTCCTTGAAGACTGGCCATCCCAAATCATCAACTGACGTCCCGCGCTGCACTAGAGAGTACTACCTTGCGCACGGATACCCGGGCTCCGTCGCTGGAGACTGCCTTTCCGATGTCCCTTCGGGCGCGGTCCTGACATTTGCCTCAACGTCGCCAGGGGCTTCGAAGGCCTGGAAGATCACCGCGACGACGCTGACGAGGAGCTCGACGGTTAGCGCCATCGCCGTGGTGGGATGGAACATAGCGTTGCAGACGACGAGCTCCACAACATCGTCCACGTTCACAACGTCCTCGACCTTGGCCTCGACCTCGACCTCAACCTCGACCTCAACCTCCTCATCGATCATATCAACACCAACTTCCCCGTCCATTTCAACCGCGACAGTCTCCAGCGGCGCGACGGCCGCGCTCACGGGGGAAGGACCCTCTTTACCGGACCAGGCGTCATCACCAGGCCTCTCGACGGGTGCAGCGGCCGGCATGGGTGTGGGTGTGGGGTTGGGCGTTATTGGAATCGCCGCCCTGCTCGTGGCTCTGTATTTGATGCGGTCAAGGAAGCGAAAGGCCGAAGCGGCTGCGGCGGCAGCAGCAGCGGAAGGGGCCCCACAGCCGGCATGGGCCGAGGGCGGGCTTCCGCCGCCGATGCCGAAAATTCGCGGAAACTCCGTATGGCGCTCACGAGTTGGGGTCCGAAACTGCATACCGAGAACTGCCGGCCACGCAGTCATACCGTGGCCCCTACCTGCCGCCCCAGGAATTGGCCTAGCAGAGTATTAGTAAGGTACTCGCAACGGTGATGGGAGGCGTTGGGCGCTGGATTGATACCATTGGCTTTCTTTCTCGATGGCGGGGATTGGCCCGCATTCAATTGGTGGTTTTATATGGATTTATACCGCCCTGTAAATGTAATAATGACGGGATTTGATTGAAAATGGACTGATGCAGCAGACATGTTCTGCTTTCTCATGATGCAGATGAGAGCCGTTGTCGTTGGTAGGTTCCAGTTTAGAAGTTGCATTCACTGGGCGGACGTTATCCAGGTCCCGGTCATCACTGCCTTCTAAAGCTTAGCCCATCCCAAACTACGCTAGCGCCCCAGCGCAACTTCCAACGCTGCACCTTCTAACAAGTCGTTGACCTCCGCCAAAGACGTGATGCAGGGGACGAGAAACAGGAGAACAGTGAAAAGCGAAAGAAAGGGAAAGGGCTTTCCGGTCAGGTATCTGCGGGGAATCGTCGACTGCAATCACTCCCGTCCACTGCAAGTCCAAGCTGGAAGTACCTAACGGTATCTTCAATCCCAGAAGAGCCGACGGCACCGAAGGAGACGTCCCGAGAGTCTGACGGCACCAGCGAATGGCCAGCTTCGGCGCCCCTCCTCCGCGTCTCCTCCGCGCCGAACTAATGCAAGGGACCAGAAGTGATGTTCAAGCCCAGTGGGAGTGATGTCGTAGCTTGCTGGTCAGCAACCACATGGCGGCTCATCAATCGTTGGAGGCTGGCGAGGTAGCATTTGGCAGCGGCCAGCTCTCCTCTTTAGCCATCATTTTTAGAATGGAATCCGCGCTCCTCGGCCCAACGCTGGTGGCATCAACTGCTAGTGACTGAGATAGCACACAAGGTGAATTGACAACCTGCATCGACAACGACATTACATGCACAAGATAGGAGCTCAGGCAACGCTTGGTGCAACCAACTGCCAAGAGAGTTGCCCTGCTGAAGCTTCAGCTGCACCTGAAGAGGCAGAACAACCCCCAGCAGTTCATCAAGCCGCAAAAGAAGACACATGCGCGGGATGCGGTCGAGCCAGGCAGGGAACTTTGTACGGTGGTGAGATTGGGGGAGACTCAGACGAGTTGTGATGTGCCAGCGAAGTGATACAGGATCTCGTCCAACTTCCCGCATCCCGCACTAGCCCTTGGTGTAAAGCTGGCATCAACCGGAACATACGGAGCACAGCATCGACGTCGTGCAAAGTGAGGTGCGATCCTGTTCTCGGCCGTGACGGTCAGGCCCACCTTGACTTCTCTGAGCGTAACCCTCAGTTATCAAGGAGTTTGGGCCTTGAGCAATAAGTGACCGTGATCGCGTCGACCTCGGCCCAAAACCGGCAACGGCTTCAAAGGGAAACGAGCAGCCATGATACTTACATACCTCCCAAAGCCCTCGATGCATACTCGACGAGACTGCACTGTATTGTACAGAGGCAGTTTGCAGCTCTTGAGGGGGCGACTCGGAAAAGGAGGGCTGTCCTGTCCACCTCAGCACGGGGCTCGTTGAGGTGGACTTGGTTAGACTTGCTGTCCCAAAAAAGAAAAGACGGGACCGAGAAAAGACGGTGTGAACAGCAGACTTGGGGAGGTGCAGCCAGAACAGGGCTTGTTGAACTGGACCTGAGTTGGCTGGACTCGCTTCCAAAAAGACGGTCTGAACGGCAGACTCGGGAGGATGGCTCGGATGGAAACAAGTCACGATGCTGCAGTGCTCACTGCATACCGAGTACAAACCAAACTCGGGGAGGGGATGGATGCCGAGGCCAAGGGCAGTGAAGAAAAAGTACGCTTGTGCAAGGTACGCGAGATGTTGGCGAATGAGGAGCAAGAGGGTTAATGAGATACCCTCCACGAAGAGATTTCGAAAGGTTGTCGTTGTGTTGGCTTAGAAAGCCGCATGTGCTTAGCTTATCTGATGGTCATGTCAAGCCTCAGTGCCATTGACGAGGCGTCGTTTTCAGAACCGGTCTGAGCCGGTGAAGAGTCAAGAGACTAGAGAGTGAACCGATTCTGCCACACCATGGTGAAAGGCAAGGGGCAGGCATCAGGGATGTTGTTGGACGGAACCTCGGGCAAAAATTGCGAAAATAGCACGCCAAAAAAGCATGATGACGAAAAGAAGAGGAACCCGAACGTTGCGAACGAAGAGCGGTTTTCTTCATCCAAAATGGGCCCACTTTTGATGGAATGGGAATGGCGCGAAAAAAGCAAGAGAACCTGCAAGTTTTTCCGAGCCGTTTCTGGCGTCAACTTCCAGGAAGGTGGGGCCCGGGGAGGGGCGCCTTCCCGACCTCGCTAGGCTCGCTCACCTGGCAATTCGTGTCCAAGTTCGCCCACCTCCATCAGGATGAGCTTTTGGTGCGTCATCAGCGACATCGTTATCGCAAAGGGCCAGGGCTAGGGCAGCGGTGCAACCCTCAGTCTCTCGAATTTTTCAATTGACAGACGGATTGGATAAGCTGAATGGAAAAGATTCGGCTGGAACCGCCCTGTTGGCCAGCCAATGCCAGAAGTTCATCCAAAGAAAAACGGGGACCTTCGTGAACCTAGCCGTGACATGAGTCGCTCACTACTTGCAGCCCACTGGACAAGCTCACAAGCTCTCGAGACGCATGCTGACGATAACTATATTGACGACAGAGCCAGTCAGGCTCCGTGTCACCGTTGCAGCTTGCGAAAGTGATATTTGGAAAGCTCACTCACCAGCTCCAGTCAGGAGCTGGTCCCCCACTGAGTTCTCTTTCAGAGCGTTGCCAACGGTCCTGTCTTCGTCCTCGGGTAGACTTAAGCCGGTAAACCAGCCAGCTGGTTGTGATTCCATTGGGCCGCCCACGCTGCTGCTGTATGCCCAACCGGCTCAGGTTGCCCATCGCCAGCCTTTTCTTCCCTGAACGGTCACGACGACTCGTCGCTGCGCAGTGTCATTGTCAGGCCGGCGAATAGTCGGCAAGAATTGATTGGGCAGTGGAGGCTCCGGCTCCGGCGGGCCAAAGTCTCGAGGCCAGAGGCCAACCACCAGCGAATACAGCTCCCCCAACCCCACGCCTGAGTGCTTACAGCAGATGTATGTACTCTATGTACAGTATACACACTACCTGAGCGCCAGATTACACGTGGTGCCACTTGTGTTCCCGAGATACTGTGAGAGCTCCGACTATTCGACCGCCCACGGATCTGCTTCCCGTCGTCTGGCGACCTTCCCCAACACGCACCCGACGATCACGCAGGATCACGCAGCACCGCGAGTAGACGGGGCAGGAAATGTCCTGGCCCGGCCTCGCGGCCTGGAAATTCGGCGAGTGACAACCATCTTGGAGCCGAACCGAGCGAAGACCTAACGTCCCCTAGCTACACTAGTTCCTCCCGTATTCATGTGCACTTGCGAAGATGGAATTCTTTTCTGGTATAATAACTGCCAAAGACCCTTAAGAGGGAAGACTGCTTCGCAGTAGTTTGGTGTGTTCGAAAGACTTCTAGTGTAAATGCCTGGCCTCGGCTCTGTCCAGCGGTAAAGTACCAGAACCTGGGCCAGTCCTTCGGCCGTGCTTCAGCCTTCGTCATATCTGGTAATTCTTCTCATTCTCAAATTGCATTACCCGCCATATACTACTCTACACGAACTGCCGCGTGCGTTCCATTGACATTCCGAGTTGCCGCTACCACCCAACTGGAGCTGGCTGGACTGATCGGGTGGGCTTGTAGCGTTTTGCGCCGCCTCGCCTGCCCCGCAACTTGCAAGGCATTCACCAACGCACTCCACCGGAACCCAATTGCTGACCCCCTGTCGGTGCCACACACACAGCAAGCTGGCTTGAATGGAAGGAGCTCTCTCCCCATTCTTGGTTGCCGTGTCTGATCGCAACAACAAAATTGTTCTGCCCCGCCACCCTTTCCAACTTTCCACGATCAGACCTCTCTTCGACCATTCCGCAACCCACTCAGTGCCGACATTACCTCCCCTGCGCCACTTCAAAGATTGTCAAAGAGCATACCGATGCCCACGTAACGATAGCTCCCATGTCGCCGAAATTGAAACCACTGCTGCTGCCGCAGCTGGTGGAGGAGCGGAAGAAGCTGGAGCTGCAGCAGACCAACGACGGCGAGAACACGTACGTCTTCTACACATACAATTCATCCTCGTCCGACCTCGCTTCACCATCGCCGGTCACGCCGACCTTCTCGCGCGCCGGCCACTCGAGATTTTCGGGGTCCGTTTCTTCACTCGAGATTCCAACACACTCGTGCTCCGAGAGCCCAGCCTCCCCAGGGCCCGTACCGCAACCCCCGCATGTCAACAAAACCACCAAGCCGCAATTACCTGATGTGCAGGAAGAACCGCTAGAGAGGGAAGAGGAGGGCACTATTGCGATGCCCGACTTCAGTGACCACGAGGCAGGCCTCTACGACTGCTTATGTGAGTCATGTGCCATTTCAGAACTGTCTCAACTGTATCTAACGGTCATGCCACGCATCCAGGTGACACTCCCTGCGCTCATCATGGCAATCTTGTACAAAGCGCGACCTTGGAGTCTTGTATGGCGTCGGACTTTGACTACGACTTGGGTTTTCTGAGTGACAGCGACTTCAACGCGAGTCCCCGGCATAAGAAGCGGCGTCACGGATCCGATGCAAGCTTCTCGCGTTGGAGCACGAAATTGGGGTCGAAACTACAGGGATGGCGGTCGCCATCTATTTCATCCATCTCAAGAAGATATAATCCAGCCTTCTCCCCGGCATCCGACCCCTCTCTAGCGGACCAACGACCAAGTTTTTCCCGGGAACCGTCAAGCCGGTCCTCATCCATCTCAGCCCCTGGTCGCGGCGCTCCGGATCGCCAGCAAGACCCTGCACTCCCTGCAACCCCTGCTCTTTCTCTCTATGAGAGCTCTGAAAGTGTTGCCATCTCTTCGCCCCTGGTCAAGAAGCCCTCGACATTGGGAAAAAGTCTAGAGCGCGAGAGAGCCACGGCAACAACCCCTCTTCTACCTCCCCTTCTAACTGACACCTCTTGTCATACGCAACCGCAGTCGCTCCAGGCATCGCCGCTACAATCCCCCTCTGTGGTGCCGTCACCAAACCCTGACATCTCAGCTTTCAAGTCGTACCCGACGCCTCCTCTCAGCACAAAAGCATCTGTCTCATCCTTCCGTCGAGGGACGGTCACGAGCATTTTCGGTGATGCACCGTCTCCAGTACCTTGCTTCTTCGATCACCAGGACTCGTGGTCCCACAGGCTGGGCCATGCCAACTTCACCATCGAGCCCAAGCCATATTTGCCTGAGACGGCCGACATCGCCGCGTTGCAGGCTTTGCGCACGGATTGGAGCCTGGCCAGGACAAACTATGCCAAGCACCTTGTGCGGACAGGAGAGCACTACGGGGCTACATCCAAGACATACGCCCTCACGGAAGCCAAATGGGCCGAGGTGGAGCAGGAATGGAAGCGGAACGAGGCTGATCTTATCCAGCGGCTGGATAGGGAATCCCTGACATCTCCCGAGCTCCACCGCACCGCCGAGGATACACCCCCGTCCGCAATCCCCCGGATGCTCAGCGACGACGGCAAGTTTCCAGAGCTCGGGGATGTCGAGATTGTTGGGCCCATGGTGCGCGACGCCGTCATGGCCCGCGATGGCCAAGACGAGAAGAGGAATAGTGCCTCTACCTGGCTCAGGAGTCTTGCTGGAAAAGTTGGCCTACGCAAATAACGAGGCCCTTGGATGCTTATGCAAACCCCTGTTTTCGTCGGACGACAAGACCGTCGTGGATAAAACCGGCTCGGAATGCATCATCCAGTGGGAGGGATGGTACAATACCAACCTTGTCTTTTTACTCATTGCTCTTTTGCTTCGCCTCTGCTTCTGCTTTCTCGGTGAAGATACCCCATCGGCTCGCATTGTCAACTAGCCAGGATGTTTAAAAATGGACATGGATGAGCGCTTGTTCTACTCCTTTTGCTTTTCTTCCACCATTGTTGCCACCGCGCAGCACTCTAGACTTTATTGTTTATACTTGATGTTTAGACCTTATTGGAGCTGTGCCGGATGGATCTCGGCAGCAACAGCCTCCTGTAGACAAGCATGTAACTTACCTCTCGGATTGATGACTGATTGATCACGTGGGTCGGGAAGATACTGGATTACGACTGGACTGTTAGAGATAGATGGGAAATGGAGTTTTACACTTGACAGCATGTCGGAGGGGATCCGACCTGTTTTGCTCGCACGGGTCACGGTATACTCGTTCATCCAGTTACGAGGAGGGGTACATGATGCCGTGTTCTGTGCGTTGTTCTGAACTACTATACATGTACCCGCAGTTGCGAATGCCTTGTGCTGTACGATCTGGGTCGGGTCTGGTATTCACTTGAAGCATGCCGCATGGCCACGGCACATATGAGGGTTTCCGGTTCCATCCGAGTCTTTAGTCCGGAGTTGAAGTATGAGCTAGTTACCTGCTTGGTATAACGGTGCGAGCCTGCGGGGGAAAGCACATGGATGATGGGCCGACACAGATAGAGTAGATCCAGGTTAGGAGCTACATCTAAGCAAGCGGTACTCATAGTACCTCAGTTCCGTCTCCCTTACCTTTATCTGCCATTCTCACACATATCGTAGACCCGACATGGAGCTCTGGCCTACACATACCGTTGTAAACATTTTTACCAGTATCTACAAACCCCGCCGATTGACAGCGTCGATCGTTTGGCATCCAGGGTTCATGTTTTCCCCACACACATATCCATGATGGACATCTACCCTACCGGGCGTAGTGTACGTATACATAGTAGTATATGCTGCGGCCAGCCGGTGCCGGGCGGCGGTGCGCTGCCGGAATAGGGCCCTGTTGGCCGCCTGGCAGCCACGTGTTTCGTCTGCTAGTAGCCATCTGCTGCCATCGGCGGTGTATACGGGTGTAGACATTCTGGTTTCTTTCAAATGTGAGGTAAGGTAAGGTACTAGTATGCAGCATTTGCGGGGAAGGAGGCCCGGGAAGGAAGGATGCGAGGATGGATGGAAGGATGTCTGTGAAACGGTGGAAGGGTGACACGGTGGCGGCGTGGCTGTTACTGTACCCCAGGGGCTACAGCCTGAGCCGGAGGAAAGTCCGTGGTTGTACTTTGTAACTAGACTGGAAATTGGTGTGAATAGTAGGTTGTTGGGCTGGTCAGGACGGGAACTGGAAGGCATCCGGGGCCGGGAGTCAGGGGTAAGCAAGGTAATCAGTAGGTGCCGGCTGCAACCGTCAGGTTCACAACTCCACGGCATGTGTTGTACTTGAACGTTGTCATGCCTAGGAAGGTAGGTAGATTGGTCTGCAACGCAGTCTATCAAGCTAGACTCGTAGCTTATAGGTAGGGTGACAGTCCGTGTTAGAAACACCAGGCACGACCTCGGCAGAGTCTGACTCTGGGGTAGAGCAAAACTTGAAGGCACCGCGCATGGACCGTTTAATACCTACCTACCTACCTAGTCAGCAACAAGAGTCTCACTCGGGTCATTGAAAGAGACAACCCCTGAAGCTAGAATCTAGGGGTCCCTGACCGCATGTGGCGTGTTTCGCATGACGCAAGAAGCGGCAAGTTGGAGGGGTGTTTCATTTGTTTCTCGTGGTACAAATAACAACTTACAGCTCCGCACGCGTACATGTCAACCAGATACATCTTACGTATTGAGCAAACCAGGACGCCCAGTTGCGGGAACTGCGACGCAAACCGGCAGCTGTCCGGGCCGGGGCTTTGTCAAGCACGTTTTCTAGGTAACGTCAACGGCAGCCCAGCTACTGATAAATACCTATGTAGGAGTAGCGGACCGGCGGCAGCGATGCAGATTCCCGTCGGGTCGGAACACCGACACCGACACCGACACCGACACAGGGTGGAATGTATTGTACAGTATGTACACGCGGCAGGTTGCTGGCCGTTAACTGTCCGGGCCGAACGGGTTAGATCTAAGATATTTGCTTGTTTGCCCACAAGCCGTACGATGGATCGTGTACGTACGGTATCAAGTACTAATAGACTGGAAGTGTGAGTCGGCAGTTGTGTCGCTGGCCAGGGTCAACTCACGGCCAAGCTGAGCCTTGGGAATGAACACTGTCAATGCATCTGTCACCCAGAAAGACCCTTCCTTGAGAAATCTGGCTGGTGATATGCCGGGTATTAGACTGACGTCTCCTTAGCGATGCCTTTACTGGTACTCGCGGTAGTTCTGCGACAAAGAGGATGCCCCAAGTTCCAGTCTTCGAGATAAGGTTGTCACAGGGGTCGCTTTGGAACATCTTTAATCCAAGGCATCAAAGAACAAAAACAGGAAACAATAGGTATGGTATTTCTATGTAGCGATATATAAGGCAGCTGAGCGGTGCAGGGTATAAGTTCAAATTGCGTGTTAGAAAAGGTATATATTCTAGTAGTAGTGTACTTCTACCTAGCAGCTACCCTAAGTACGTATAGACTCAACTTGAGAATTGTTCGGATTCCTGCCCAGCCTGGTGTGAATAGGTAGGAAACCCATGGCCACTCACCTCTGCTACTTATCTTACATACCTAAGGAAGGTACTCATCGATCGGGGAAAGAAAGAGACGGCCGGCGATCCTGGGCTCTTGCTACTCCTAATGCCAACTCGGACAAGGACGCCTGTATTACAGATCCTACTCATCGAGGTGATCATTTCCTCTGCTACTCTCCCCCTGAAACACCCCCTTCAACTCGAGCAGACGACCTGCCGGGCCCAGCAGCCGTTAGAAACCGAAAATCAACCCCCTCCTCAGCCTGATTAACCTCCCGCATATACAACCCTCGATACCCCCTAACCCTCTCCCTCTCCATCCACGGCTCACCCCTCCTCCTTTCCATCTCCCTTTTCCTCTCCTCCACCCTCGCCCTCACCTCCTCCTCTCCCACCTCCACCCCCAACCACCTCCTTTCCACATCACACACAATCCAATCCCCATCCCTCACCACCCCAAGAACCGACTCCGGATCCGCCCCCTCAGGGCTCACATGCAGCACAATCGTGCCCCCGGCAGTCCCACTCATCCTTCCATCCGAAATCCGCAACATATCCACCACCCCCTTAACCGCAAGCTTTTTTGGGATGGGAATCAGCCCGGCCTCGGGCATCCCCGGATTGCCCACCGGCCCGATCCCTCTTAACACTAACACACTGTCCTTATCGACGTCTAAGCTGGGGTCGTCGATTCTTGCGGCAAGGTCAGCCGAGGAGTTGAAGACGACTGCCCGGCCGCGGTGGGAGAGCAGGCGGGTGTCTTTGGAGGCGCTCGCTTTGAGTATAGCGGACCCGCCGGGTGGGCCGGAGAGGTTGCCTTGTTGGAAGATTATCAGGGAGGAGGAGGGGTAGAGGGGGTGGGTTAGCGGGCGGATGCAGTTCACATTCGAATTCGAATTCAAATTGGCGGGGCTGTTGTTGGGAGGGAGAGGGAGAGAGACAGGGCGGAAGGGGATAGTCGCGAGTTCGTCTCCTAGTGTACGCCCCGTAACGGTCATGGCGTTGGGATGAAGCAGCGGTTTAAGATGATGCAAAAGGGCGGGCATGCCGCCTGAGTTATGGAAATCGGTCATGTAATTCTCCCCGCTGGGCTTGAGGTCAACTAAAAGAGGGGTGTGACGGCCAATGGTGTCGACAGTGGCCGGGGTGATGGTGCCGGCTAGCGATGGGTGGCGGTTGACGATGGCCATGAGGTGGATGATGGCGTTGGTGGAGCCACCGATGGCTTGCAGGACGGTGATGGCGTTGAGGAAGGATTCCCGCGTGAGCAGAGTTTGTGGTTTGAGGCCTTGTTTGGCGAGTTGGACTGCAAGAGCGCCGGTTGACTCGGCGATGCGCAAGCGGGCGGAGGATACGGCGGGCGCGGTGGCGCCCTGGATCGGCATCACGCCTAGGGCGGAGAGCAGACAGGCCATGGTGCTGGCTGTGCCCATTACGCCGCAGGTGCCGCCCTGCCAGGCATTATAGGTAAGTATGATGAGGTACGGTGCGTTAGGAATGGAGTAATGGATCAGGGGCTGCGTACAGTTGGGGCAAGCTCGTCGTTAAGAGTCGCTATGTCTTCCACGTCAAGCGTCCCGGCGCGGAATCGGGCCCAGTTACTCCTGCAATCGGTGCATGCACCGACTCGCACGCCTTGGAAACTACCGGGCATCATGGGTCCGGTTACCAGGTGGATCATGGGCTTGTTGGCAGAGATGCCGCCCATGAGCTGCGCCGGCGTCGTCTTGTCACAGCCTGAATACCTGGTTTTAGTGGCAGCCTCCAGTCCATGGTAGGTGATGTTTCCTACCTCCGATAAGAACCACCGAGTCAACCGGCTGAGCCTGGATCATCTCCTCCGTGTCCATGCTCATCAAGTTCCGAAGGTACATGCTCGTCGGCGCCGCAAACGACTCGTGCAGGCTGATGGTTGGGAAATCAATGGCCAGCCCTCCGTTCAGTTGCACGCCGCGTTTCACAGCGTCAATAAGCTGCGGAATATTGGCATGGCACGGGTTGAAGCCCGAGTAGGTGTTGACGATGCCAACAATGGGCCGCGAAAGCGCATCTTCGCTGTAGCCGAGTGCCTTGATGAACAACTTGCGCATGAAGAGGGAGAAGTGCGCATCGCCGTATGAGGGTAGTCGCTGTTGTAAACCGACGCCATTGGGGTCGATGGGTGTCGAGAGGTCATAGTCTGCGTGTACTTTGTTATGCCCGGTTGACGCCATGATGACTCCTGGTAGTAGGATGCTTGGAGTGGCTGGATAAACGCCGCTTGGTTCTGTTGATTGTCTTTCTTCCTCAGTGTCGTTTTCCTACATGGATGGGATTCTCCTCAATCCATAATCTCCTGTTTGCGGGGACTCGAGGCAACATAACCCGGCGGTACAGTTCCATTGCGCAATCAAGAGCGAATCGTCCAAGCAGTTCAAGGTGGCGGTGGGGTGCATGCATGGAGCTAGGTAGTCGATCACCCTGATCCTGCTTTGAAATAGGAGGACGGCCGGATATACGACTTGAATGTCGTGCTAGCGCTACTTGGGTAGCAGGGTTATAATCTATCCTACAGTAGACACATATATAGTCCCTAAACGATTTGTTGTATTGCAATCCCAAGATGCAATACTGTCTTGCGTAGGAAAAGGGGTATTACCATAACACTGTTTACAGGCTACCGCTGACTGTATACCAGACTACTACTGTATCTACACCATCATGCCCCTGCCACACATGCATTAAAACTATTTCTAAGGGTATCGTCTGCGATGCACAGTACTGTTGTATCACGATTTGTCCTCTGGACTCTCGGCGTACGGACTTCTTTTTCTCAAATTCGGCCCCAATCTCCAAAACACCAACGGAGCAGGGGCGAGCACGACGGCGATGCAACCGAGCAGCGTCAGAGTCCAATGGACACCAATCCCCATGTAGAGCGGCCTCGCCGCCGTCACCATCCCCCCAGCGATGATGTACCGCAGCATGGTGATGCTCGACAGGGCCGTAGCAGAATGGTCGCCATAGCTATCGATAATGTACTCGTAACTGCTGACGTATATGGCAATCAGGACGGCGCCAAACAGGAAGCACGCCCCGAGACTGCACCAGATGGAGATGTTATGGTAGTTGCCCCATCCCAGCCAGAAAAGCGACACGGGAAGCAGCGGGCCTGCCACAATGGACGGCCAGAGCCGGAACTCGGGGGTCACCTTGGCGCCCCTGACATGTTCCGTTTTGCGCCTGGCCCAGCTGTACAGCCCCGGAGCAAACAGGGTGAATGCCGTAGACCCGGCCGCGATGGCGCCAAAGCACGAGCCGGTCTGCGCAGTGGACAGGCCGTATGTCTCTTTGAAGATGTAATCGAAGCCGGAGAGGAAGGTGAACAACAGGACGTAGAGCAGTACTAAGTATATGCCGAGAACGGCGACGACGGGCTCGGTCACGAAGAACTTGACGGGCAGCGTGATTCCCGCTCTCAACCGGTCGATGAGCGTGGCCGACTCAGCGTGCTTCGAGACATAGCGCGGGTCGCCGGTGGCACGGCGTAGGCCGGCGGCTTTCCAGTCCAGCAAAAGCGGGAGATAAGTCTCCGGGAGGAACAGCAGCGCCAGGAGGAATGCAAAACCCGATATGATGAGCGTGATCCACTCTGTCCAACGCCACCCGAGTCGGGGGTTGTCAACAATCCAGCCCCCCGCGATAGGGGCAATGACTGGGGCTGAACGGCGTCAGTAACAGTTAAACCCCTGGAAAGAAGCAGGCGACAACAACACAGGACCAGACCAGAAAGTCTCAGAACTACCAGCACCCATCCCCTAAACCCATCCCGTTCTGGACAAGGTAAGGTATCTACTCACCAGCAACATTCGCCCACGCCACCACCGGAAACACAAACGCCCTCTTGACACTCCTAAACTGATCCCTCACGCTACTGCCATTCACACTCAACGTTGCACTGGCACACACCCCAACAAAAAACCTGCACACCACCCTCCCCGCAAACCCCTCCACCATCGCCACACCGAGCACACAAAGAAGATACCCAAACGTCGAAACCAGATACACCGGATTCCGCCCCGTTGTTTCGGATACAGGACCAGCAACCAGCGCGCCCGTGCCAATTCCAAACAGGTACATGGCCGTCGACAGGTTTTCGGTTGTTTTGCTAATGTTCAGTTCGCGGCTCACGACGCTGTTGGCCATGGAATCTGCGGCGCCGGCCCAGGCTTGGGTGAAGATGAGAAGGGAGAGGAGGGTTATGTTTTTGGTTCGGGAAAGGAGAGGCCAGTTGCGGGGGTCGAGGGGGTCCGAGGGGGAGGAGGGTGAGATGTAGATCTTGTCATCACTGTGTTGGGATTGGGAATGGGGGGTTTGTTGTGGCTCAGGCTGCGGTGGAGGGGGCAGAGATGATGGTTGCTCCGGCTTCTCGGACAATGGTCTGTCGTGGTCTTGAAGATCATGATGGCGTCTCGGGCGCAGTGCTGTGATGGATTGGGATGACTCGGAGGGTTGGTTGAGGAGTTGACGGCGTTGAAGAATTGACCACATTGTCGTTGTAGTCAATAGATGAATGGAGGCGTCAGGGAGAACTTAAGCAGACGGGAGAAAAGGGAGATGGATACAAGAACTCCTAGTCACCATTAAATGATCATCAATCTACTGCTAGTATGCATCCATTGAATGGGACGGTCAGGGACTCAGGGGTAAGCTAAGTTGGCAGGTCCCCTGATGAAGTTGGTCGCGTGACGTAATTCCCGTTTTGGTCTCCAGTCAACAGATAACCCTTTGTAACTAAGTGTGTAATACCGGCATCAGGCAAATCAATGACCTGCTCTCATTCGCAGAGCAGGAAGATACAGTAACCTAAGTATGTACCCTGCGGCATGCACCCCGCAGCCGATTCAATCCCCCTCTGCTTCCCTCTGCATGTATCCTCTGCAGTTCACCAACGTGCATGTACCGTGCTTGACTTGACTTTCCTTGTGTCGATTGTCAGTTGTCTCTGTTTTAAACCCGGCAACAGCCAGACCACCAACAAACATGAACGGGCTTATGAGATCTTGGCGGACGATAGCTGAGGGCCGTGAGCAATCAACTAACTCTTGCCTTCTTATACAGACCTAATAACAACAGACCTAGCCACCTGTCTTGTCAGCTTTGAACAATATTGAAACCCCTTGATGCCTCACGGGTAGGTATCACAAAACGCACCACTCCCTCTCCAGTCCGCAACCGCCGCGTTCAGTTGCTACCCCCAGCCACCACCACCACCACTACCCCCCTCCTTCAGGCTTCCTGCCATAAACAACCCAAAAGTTCCAATACCCATGCATCCGTCGATTCCTCAGGTCCTGCCTTACCAAGGCCATAAACACCCTCACCTCATCCGCACTCCACCCCAGCGCTCTTGTAAAAAGCGCCAGGCTCATGCTCTCGCACCCCCACGAAAAGTTCTCGTACGACCACTGGCCCAGCTCCTTGTGTTTTGGATGGCGCGGCCACGGGTTGGTTGGCCAGGGGACCTGTTTGGCGACTACGTCGACAAACCCGGCCTCGCGCATCATGTCGGGAACCTTGGAGATGGTGTCGAGCGGGAACCCGGCCGTGTTGGCTGCGCGGTGCATCAGGTCGTTCCATTGTTGCAAGGGTGAGTCAGGGGGGATGGAGTTGTCGTCGCAGCGGAGGACGAAGTCAATGTCGTGGATTTCGAGGTAGCCGTTTGGTTCGAGGTATCTGTCACGGGGGAGGGGGGGTTGAGTATGGGGGTGAGCAAGGATGTTGAAAGGGTCCGGGGTTGATAGCTTGAAGGGGGTTCAATGGGTGGGGTGAGACGTACTCGCAGCTTTGACGGAAGAATCCAGGCCAGTCGCGGAATGCGCCTATCATGAGCTGACTGTGGATGTAGTCGAACTTGTGGGTGAAGTTCCACGGCTTCTCGAGGTCGTCTACCTCGAAGAGCAGGTTCGGGGGGATGCTTTGGAGTGAGTGAGTGTGAGTATAAGTAGTGAGTCATACCGCTGTCTTTCTCAGAAGGCTTACCACACAGGCTGAACCGGAGCCAAATCGACACCTAGCACTTCGGTTTCAGGATGTTCATCCGCTGGAAGGTCGTATCAGTACCGGTTGGTTAAGTTGCTAGACACGGTTGATAAAAGGGATGAGCGAGTCAAGGAAGTACCAAATTCGATAGCCCATATCCCAGTGCCACAGCCAACATCAAGAGCTTTCTTTATGTCCTTGATAGGTGCCCATGTGTGTTGCTTGTCGAGGGTAAGCCAGACGAGATGGCATTGAAAGTCTGGTGGCAGTTAGGTGAGACGGTGCTTCACTCTGCGTGGTGATTTTTACGAACGTACCTAAGCGCTCTAGCTCTTGCTTGAGTTTCACATGGTTCAGTTTGAGCTGCTACACTAGCTTCGATCTCAGGGCCTTACCTCATCCATTGGCAGCACGTATTCTGAGTTTTGTGAGCGTCATTCAACAGGCAGCAAGTGAGATTTGAAAGGTCGCTGGGGGTGCATACTCGCTTCCATGTAACCCTGGTACTGCCGGCCATGCTCTCGTAGTTGCAAGATCAGCTCATCACGTAAAGAGGTTGTCGAAGAGTGAAGCTATATCCCCGAGGATGTTAGAGATATTGGCGAAAGTCCAAGGTACGCAATCTGCTCACGCTGCCGATAGCCGAGTCTCCGTCGTCGGTCACCTCTTCTTCCGCAGATTCCTTTGCCGGTACCGGTCAGCCATGCACTCAAAGTCCTTGACATTCTTTTGCCATACATCTGGCTCGAGTGCTGGCTCGTCTGCGCCGGTGGCTGCATCATGGGGGTCGGGTGGCGGCTCAGGGGTCGCTTGAGCGGGAATTGCGGGGGATCGAGGTTCGTCCCCGTCGGCCATGGCAAATGCCCAAAGGTCCCGGCTTCGAAATTCGGGCTTCGATCGCAGAGATAATGACTTGATAATGTCACTTGCTTGACGTTGAAACTTAAATCCCGGGTAGACACAGCCTAATAAGTACTGACTACTACTTGAAGGGAACAAGCTGGCGATTGCTGTGATAATTGATGAATCCAACTCGGCTCTAGACCGTCAAATTGAGGACGTTGGGTGCATTAGAAGGGCCTTGGCCGGTTGCAACAAAAGGGCGGGATGCGTCTCGTCACCATCTTACCATGCCAAAGTTGGCTGGAAGCAAGGGAAAGGGCGGAGACACGGGTCCAATCATGAAGGGTGGCGGGAGCATTGGGGGCAATAGTGTGGTGACACACAGGGTCGGTGGCAGCTCTCGCAGCATCTCGTTCGCTTCGGTTACACCGCAGATTATGTACAGGTATTCCGTCTTAGTCTTAGGTCGGTTATATGCGTGGATGACGAACCCAGGCTTGCAGCGTTGCCAGTGAGTGGGTGTTTTGGGGGAAGGTGCGTGGGAGGTTGGAGACCCTGATAAGTTAACCTCTGGGCATGCACCGGCCATTTGTTGAGTGAAGCGAGGAAATAGCGCTGCGGTGGGGCAATGCAACGTCCTTGCAACAATCTCCCACTGGAACTGATCCTTTTTCATGTGTTCCATTTTCCAGCATCAACCGACTGACACCGTGACGGGTCTTCTTGCTTATTACAGTGTACAGTGCAGGTTGAGGGCATCTCGGAGCACCGCCAATGGAGACGGTCATCAAGCAGCCTGCCATTGCTGCGATTGGAACGGCGCTTTTGGCTGTGTTTGTGCTACACACCATCGTCCAGTGGCGCCGTCTCTCACACGTTCCGGGTCCTTTCTGGGCCGCTTTCTCAAAATATTGGATGGTCAAAACAGCCCTTCGGGGTGACCAACCTTCTGCCCTCAAAGCGGCCAACGACAAATATGGTATTCTTCAGCCCTACTGTTTCCGTTAATCCGTTCCTTGTGTCACCTTGAATCGTTCATGCATAAACTGATCTGAGAATTCCGACAGGATCGCTTGTCCGGATTGGCCCGAATGAGCTAGCCACTGACGACCCCGATGTCTTGCGACGTATGATGGCGGTTCGATCCGCCTACACGAGAGGCCCCTGTCAGTGCCAGCCCAAGGAACACTGCAACGTCGGCTAGGTATTGCTAACCCAGAGCGCAGGGTACGAGGCGTGGCGGCTTGACCCAACGCGGGACAACTTGTTTTCGATGCGTGACGATGCGGCCCATATCCAGCTCCGGGGCAAAATGGCTCCTGGCGTAAGTCCGTTGAGACTTGGTGGTCATGGTCATACTGACTCCAATAGTACTCCGGCAAGGAGAATCTCTCGATGGAAACCACCATCGAGACCAGAATTGCCAAGCTGGTTGATCTGATCGAGACCAAGTACCTCTCTACTCATGGACAGTATCGCCCCATGGACTTCGCCCAGAAGACTCAATATTTCACTCTTGACGTGATCAGCGATCTTGCATTCGGCCACCCACTGGGCTATCTGGATCAAGACGACGATGTTTACGACTATATCAAAATCACTAAGGCGTCGATCCCTGCCATGATGATTCTGTCAAACATGCCCGTGCTCGCAAATATCATGCAGTCACGCTTCCTGCGTTCGCTATTACCAAAAGACACAGATAAGATTGGATTTGGTGCTTTTATCGGGTCAGTCCCGAATTCACTCCCCCGTTAGAACATTAGGACGCAGTGGTCTGATGCTGAGCCCCTTTTGTCATCAACAGCGTCACCAAGAAAGTCGTGGCAGCTCGCTTCGCGTCCGACAACCCTTCGGAACCGGACATGCTTGGCTCCTTCATCCGGCACGGTCTGAATCAGGTAGAGGCATCGGGTGAAGCGCTCCTCCAAGTCGTCGCGGGGAGCGACACGACAGCCTCCACAATTCGCATCGTCATGATCCACCTGCTGAGCAGCCCTCCAATCTACAAGAGACTCCAGTCAGAGATCGACGACGGCATTGCGTCGGGCAAAATCTCGTCCCCGATCAAGGATTCCGAAGCTCGTCAAATGCCCTATCTGCAGGCCGTCATTAAAGAGGGCCTGCGAATCTTACCACCCGCTGCCGGTGCCTTCTTCAAGGAGGTACCTCCAGAAGGCGACACGATCGACGGCAAGTTTATTCCCGGCGGTACGCAAATTGCAAGCTCCCCTTTGGCCATACATCACTCCAAGAGGACATTTGGCGATGATGCCGAGGTGTTTAGGCCCGAGAGGTGGCTTGAGGCTGAAGGGGACAAGCTTGCTAAGATGCAGAGCACGGTGGACCTGGTGTTTCACTCGGGCAAATTTCAGTGCCTGGGCAAAAATGTCGCCTTAATGGAGTTCAACAAGCTCTTCGTGGAGGTAAGTGATTGTTGACTCGATTGGGGTTATGCTTTGCGTGAGATCGGAGCTGATATGAAACTTGGAATAGTTGCTAAGACGGTTTGACTTCTCGGTGGTCCGGCCCACTGAGCCAGCGAAGATCACCAATGCTGTAAGTCGACTTTCAGCGGTTCTTGGGGCCAATAACCTTCTTGATGCTAACCATGTTTAGGGAGTCTGGATGATCGAGGATTTCTGGGTACGGGTTACTCGCAGACACAGTGACGACTAGGACCGCTACCGTCGACTACCTGTGACTGTCGCCATATATCCAAGCCTTTTCACTACTTGCTGCGGCGCCCCGTTGTCCGCCGCGGAATGCCGTCAAAGCTCCCAGAACATCGAACGAAAACTGAAGCCATACGTGACAAGGAAAATTGTCTGTATCTGTGGTGGGTGTATTGCTGACAGGACTAGGTACTATACATGTAATCTATCATGCTTCTGATTTGCTGTTAGGTATCATTGGACAAGGCGGGTGAATTACCAGATACCGGGAGGGCGCAAGTAGGAGTGATTTACACAGCCTGATGGCAGTAATCGCTGCGGGGTTCATGTAGCATCCCATGAATCCTTCTCCCTTGGCTTGCAGCCTGGAGGAATGCAGAACGAAGATCTTCTCGTTGGAGGCCACACTCACCTGCACACGATCTTTTACGACGTAGCCTCCCTTCACCGCCTGCAATCTCGCTGCCGATGACCCTTCCTCATAAAATAACAAACCCCCGTTCTCTGCCATCTGTCGGCCAGTCCCCCATTTCTACCAACCCGGCTCGCGTTCCTCCATCATGGCTTCATGGTACTTTACGCTCTTGGTGGCTGCAGTGGTCTATACCGTCTTCAAACTGAAAGGCGTCGGACGAAGACCAAAGGGTTTCCCTCCCGGGCCTCCCACGCTCCCAATCATTGGAAATCTGCACCAGATTCCAGCCAAGAAACAATATCTCCAGCTGCAGAAATGGGCTCAGACTTACGGACCGGTCTACTCCCTCATTCTGGGAACGCAGGTGATGATTGTGCTGTCCGCTGACATTGCTGTCAAGGACTTGCTTGATAAAAGAAGTGCAATCTACTCGTCCAGACCCGAGATGTATATTGGCAATCAGGTGGCGAGTAGTGGGTTGCGGATGGTGCTCATGGTTAGTCTTGTTCCCTTCTCCTTGCCACTCCCTCATACAACTAGATGCCGAGATGGAGCACCTCCTGACAGTCGCGTACTCGACTCTGACCACATGCACATACAGGAATACGGCGAGACATGGCGCCAAATCCGACGAATCTTCCACGGTCTGTTACACCTCAAAGCAGCCAAATCATACATGCCGTATCAAGACCTCGAGAGCACCTCGATGATGATTGCAGTGCTGGAAGAACCTGACCTGATCTTTGATCACATCCGGCGCTACACCAACTCCTTTTCCACGCAGATTGTGTACGGGTTTCGGACTCCTAGAATTGATGACCCGAGACTGCTGAAGCTGTACAAGAATACCGAGGACTGGAGCCATGTCACGGCCTCGGCAGGGGCGGCGCTGTTGGATGCGTTTCCTGTGCTGAGAGGGTTGCCCGAGGTTGCCAGGCCGTTATATAGACATGCGCGGAGAGTGGCGGACATGACGGTGGGTTTGAGTATGGAGATGTGGGGGGAGATTAAGGGGAGGGTGAAGGAGGGAACAGCCAAGGTATTGATATCCAGTCCCTGAACCACCTACTCAGCAACCCCCCTCCCCGCATACCTACCGGTAAAAGAGCGAGATTGGACGCTAACAATGCATTTCCAAATTCCAGCCTTGTTTCTGCGTCGGCGTGGTCAAGGCACAGCAAGACGAAGGACACAGCGACAAGATGTGCGCAATGATGGCAGGCACGGCGATGGAGGCGTCCTCGGACACATCCGCCTCCACGCTGGCCGGGTTCATCCAGGCGATGGTGCTCTATCCCGAGGCTCAGAAGGCGGCACAAGCCACGGCTGATGAGGTCTGGGGCGAGGAGTTTCCCTCCCTGGCGGATTTTGAAAATCCCAAAGCCCAGTATATTCGGGCCTGTGTCAAGGAAACTTTGCGGTGGATGCCAACTGCCATACTGGGTATACCCCATTCTCCGGTTAGAGATGATGAGTATATGGGGTACAAGATTCCCAAGGGCGCGGCCGTTGTTTACAATGTCTGGTCAGTCCTCCTCACCTACCTACTGTATCTCCCCGTTAATACCTTACCTACCCGTTTGGTCTGGTCAGATGCAGGTCTGGTATTGATGTCTGTCTAGGGCGATCCACATGGACCCCAACCGCCACGCCAACCCCCGTTCCTTTGACCCGTCACGGTACATGGACGACTTCACCAGCTCCAGCGAATCCGCGCAGAACCCGGATGTGTCCAAGAGAGATCACTTCACGTTTGGCGCGGGCCGGCGTGTGTGTTCGGGCATGCACGTGGTGGATCGATCGCTGTTTCTTGTCATTGCCCGGCTGGTGTGGGCGTTTGACTTTGGCAGGGCGGTTGATGAAAACGGAAGAGAGATTGTGCCGGACCAGGATGATCTGGTGGGTGGGCTGCTCGTGCAACCAAGGCCGTTTAAGATGAGGATTACTCCACGGAGTGAGGCTCGGGCTGCGAAGGTGCGTGAAGCGTGGGAGGGGTGTAAGAAGTTGTTGGACGAGGAGGAGCAGTGGAGGGGTGTTCCGATAGGTATGCCGTATACTACGTATGAGATGGATACGGGTGGTGAGGGGGTGTGAGATGAGGGTGGGTAGGTAGGCATGGTAGGTAAAGAAAGGGTAAGACGGCCTCTTACGGAGCTGTGTTTCAGGGATATATTTCATGAGGAGGCAAAGGGAATTGCGAATATACGAGTACCCCTGAGTCACTAATCGATTGGTGGACATATATCGGACAACATAAGAATGCAACGGTGCTTTATCATCAAAGCTAGGTACAAAAACATAATATGAATCCAGAATGAGAATAACATCCCCCTTGAAAGCTAACTCCCTGTGAGTGGGAGATCCCCAGCCTCCTCCCACCACCCCTTTTGCTCAGGCATGCATAGAACTTGACTGCCTCAAACAACAGGCCAGCCGCTCGAAAAGTTCAGCTTATTCCAGCCAAAGCGCTTCTGGCCATCAGCAAAGCCAACCCGCGTGTCGACGTAGTGGTAGTACAAGACCTAGTATGGGACAGTCAGCGCCTAGCTCTGCCAACAGTCACCATCACTGCATGTATGTAGTACTTACCGGCCCATAAGTCGGATCCTGGTACACCCCCTGTCCACCAGGACCATAAACCCAGTTATGCGAAGGCAGAACCACGGTCCCACCCCCCGACGTGCACGACTTGCCATTCTTATCCACAAACCCTCCCGTCGCCGACGTCGACCTGCACACCATGATCCTATACTCCTTGCCAGCCGCCGGCCGGCTCTTGTCATACCCACAGCAAGTCCCCTTGGAGAAAAACAAGTAATAATACGACCCGTGCTTGAAAACAGTCGGGCCCTCCATGGCCGTGTCCGCGGGGTCAAACGCCACCTGCACGGCCGAGCTGCCTGACTGGACTCCGGTCGGGGTGGATTTCATCTGGACCTGGTGGATGCCGTTCCAGAAGCTGCCAAAGGTGAGGTAGTAGTTGCCGTTGAAGCTGATGAGGTTGCCGTCGATGGCGTTGTAGGGCTTGCCCGGGCTCGAGCGGACGCCAACTGAGCCGACGTCGGTCCAGGTGCCTGCGTCCATGCTGGACGAGCGGGCGAGTCCGATGGCGGAGTCTTGCGAGCCGAAGGTTGAGACGGAGTAGTACAGGTAGTAGATCCCGTTTATGTAGGCGATGTCGGGGGCCTATACATTGTCACATCACCTCCTGTCAGCACCAAACCCAAACAACTTCACAACTCATACGTAGCTAGAAGTTGCAGTGACTGACCCAAAGATCCTGATTCCCCGCCAAGGCAATGGACGATCCGCTCGGCAGGACAGCACCACGATACGTCCAGGGACCTGTCAGCGCCGGCGCCGTGTGGATGGCGATCCTGCCGCCGGTGGAGAAGCGGAAGTAGGTGCCGTCGGCGCGCCGGATGATGGCCGGGTCGTGCGAGTTGGTGCAGGTGCCGCTGCATGCCTCGGGAAGTGCGTAACCCAGCACAAGCCCCGGCAGGGCTGCTGCGAAATAGAAGAGGCTGGAGATGTTGACCATGGTGACTGTGTTGACTCTTGAGTGGCTTCTCGGTCTGGTGTCAGCGCGCCGTCAACCGAGCGTCAGACGTCCATTGGCAATAAGTCGTAGGTGCTTTATATCTACGTCGGTTGACTCGGTTCACGGCGATGGTTCGGCTCGGCACGGAGTGACGGAGATTGGAGGAGGGTGACTGGGGCTGCTTCGCGGAGTCGTGTCCGAAGTAGTACTATCGTGAGCCAATGCCTCGGGCCACGCGGTAAACAGGAACTCCAGTCACCGGGCCACATTACAAGGGTCAGGGGCCCAGGAGTCGCAAGGCGGATTCTGCCGTGGCCCTTGGCATCTCGGTTGGCGACTCTGAGGACGGTCTCTTGAACATCGGAGAAATGAATCCAAGAGTGGATAATAATCCGTCCAGTCGTGAACCAGCGGCGGAAGGCATTTGTGTGAGCTGGGCTGGGCAGTTGGAATATATTGATGGATATTCTACAACAGCCAGCCGTGATGGGTGCTACGGTGCTATCCCTGGAGCCCGGGTCTCGAAGCCACGCGAGGAGTGGAGGCAGAGCCAGATGCGCACCAATCAGGGGGGAGACAACGGCGTGTAAGTTTGCCCACCGGGTTTCACCGCACCAAAACGGGTGCCGGAGGGCTGGCTCCGCAAATTGCTGCCGTTGTGGATTTTCTCCGTCTCGTCAGTTTCGCTGCGCTCCGCGATCTGGTACCTCCCGGAGATCTGGGTTCAAATAACAAAGACAATGTCGAGGCTGAGTAGCGATACTGAGATGGAGCTCATCACCAGGTTGAGGCTCAACGCAGCATCCGCCAGATACGCATTGGAGATATCGTGTGAAAGATGAAGTTCATCTCGCTGGGCTTCTGGGCCATTGCGGCCTGCGTAACCCTGGTTTCTGCCGCCTCCTTTTCCAACCCTCTCAAGGCGGTCAACGGGTCCGACCCTCACATTGTCTATGACAATGGTTATTATTATCTGATGACCACGACGTGGACGAACTTGCAGATCACCCGGGCGAGAACCCTGGAAGGACTCAAGACTGGCCAGAACAAAGTGGTGTGGACAGATTCGAATTCAGCACGGTGCTGCAACGTCTGGGCCCCTGAGCTTCACAAGATCAACAATGTGTAAGAGTCTTTCCGCGCCGTCTTGAGAAGAAGGTCCAACTTACCACCTTGTAGATGGTATATCTACTATACTGCAGGAAACAGCGCAAACCTGGATGGCCAACGTAGCCACGTTCTCAGGGGTAAGTATTTCCCCTGTTATGTTCACTCCGCGGCTGAGTACCTACTTACACCTTCGCCAGGCGGCGCTTCACCATGGGACAGCTTCTCATACGCCGGACAACTGACCCGTGACTGGGGCATTGACGGGACCGTCCTCCGCTTCCCCAACCAAAACTACTTCGTCTGGTCGTGCTTCCCCAGGGCCAACTGGCAGTCGCTCTGCATTGCGCCCATGACCTCGCCCACGTCGATTGGCGCGTCTCGCGTCCTCTCAGAGCCGACCCAGTCCTGGGAGCAAGCCGACAGGCCTGTCCAGGAGGGCCCCGCAGCGCTGTATCATGGCAGTAGCATCTTCCTGGCTTACAGTGCCAGCTTCTGCTGGACCAGCAGCTATCAGCTCGGTCTCTTGACGTACAAGGGCTCTGGTGATCCGACGCTGGCCTCGAGCTGGGCTAAGTCGGGACCGGTTTTCAGCTCGGCGAATGGCAATTATGGTACTGGGCATAACGGGTGAGTTGCCAATAGGCATCTGAAGTTTGGAAGACGCAAACTGACTTGGGTCGATGATAGGTTTTTCACGAGTCCTGATGGCAAGGAAACGTGGAATGTCTACCATGCGACGGCCATCAGCCAGGGAGCTTGTGACGGTAACAGATATACCGCCGCTAAAAGAGTGGATTGGACCGCGGACGGCAAGCCAATCTTTGGAAGGGCCGATCGTGTAGGCACTGTTCTTGCTGGGCCGTCGGGCGAATGACCGTCTGAGACTTTTTTTACTATCCATAACCGAGGAGTATTGTTTGATGAGGTCACTGGCACAGTTGTCGGAATTCTATGTTACAGTTGTTCTCAAATTTCGAGCTCAATGGAAGTGACATACCGGTAGTAGTTGCCTACCACTGTTGCCCATGACAGCTGGTGACGTCATGCAGCCCAAACAGTCTCACACAAGACTTCCCATATTCTTCACAAACAGAAAAAATGGAAGGTACCTCACAGGTGCTACTTGTATTTCACATCTTCAAGAAAACCAAGTAAGGTAGCAACCATTCCCAAACTCAAAATGACCCGAATCTCCGACGCCATCAAACAAGACCATGCCCTCATCCGGCGCGCCTACCGACAACTCTCATCTTCCAACCCAGACAACCGCAACCCGGACGAATTCATCTGGGTCTTGGACCGCTATCTGATGGTCGAAGATCTCGTCCTAACGCCCGCACTCGAACACCACATTGCCCAAGGCGGGGAGCGACACAACCGATTAGCCCGCGACTATGACAGCGTACGTTCCCCCCTCCCCCCTCCCTTTCCCCCCCAACACCACTGCACCACCCGCACCACAAACCCAATATTGACAACCTGAAATGAAATGAAAGATACACGAAAAGCTCCTGCGCATGAAACAGTTCAATCCCACCGATCAAAGCTTCGAATCCTCCCTCAAAGCCATCTGGGTCGACCTGGAACCACACATCCGCGAGGAAGCGACTTCTGATCTCGACCGGTTGGAAGAGAGCCTGTCCAAGTCCGACTCGGAGGCGTTGGGGAAGAGGTACGAGGATATCAAGGAGCTGCTGCAGAGGCCGTATGGAGAGGGCGGCACGCCGGATGCGCATACGTTGAGCGCTATTCTGGAAATGCCTAGGCAGGAGTTGATGGTTAAGTTGGGGATTAGGGGGGAGTGACATTGTGAATGTGTGGGGGAAGGGGTGAGGAAGGGGGCCGACTGTTTATTTCTGCTGTCATTACAAACAGATAGGTCAGGTTGCCCCGGAATCATGAATTGTGGGTTTCTGTTTCTGCTTTCTTGTTGGTCATGATGATCTCAGAGTGGAAGCTACCGTGGACAGAAGAGGCTAATCAGTGGTCACTGATCAGTACAAGGAAATGACTATACTGAGCACCCGAGTATACCAATTGCAGACTCGATTTGCTACAAGGCCGTTTGCCCCTTGCCTCTATGGAAAGAACGGCTGGGGACAACCCCAAAGGAAGACGACAAAACTGGCTCCTGCTTAACGCAAGGAGAACGAAGAGAAAAGAACCAAACAGGCCGAGTCGGCCGAAGGTCCCCAAAAGCGCAGCTGAGTGTCTAGCTGGCTGGCTGTGTAAAGCCTTTCCCCCTGCGGCATCTTTCGACCACCATCTCCATCCAACACCCGTCACCTTCCTGCCCCCTGAGCATCTTCACACCTCGGTTCCAGCTTCAACACCCTGCTTCAACAGAACAGCCCCCAAACCAAACCTCCTCTTCACCGCCTTCCACGCCTCAACAATCACAATGTAAACCACAACACATGCCACAACCACACCCCACTCCCACGTGATAGCCTCATGCTTAAAAACAACCCGGTTAATCACAGGGAGATAAATAACCGGAAACGCAATCACGAACCCAGCCGAGACGGCACCAAACAGAAACTTGTTCTGCCACACCGTGCGGAAGACAGACAGCGGGCCTGCGTACTTCTCCGGGTGCATGGCAAACAGCGACCGAGTAAAGTGCTTTGCCTCCCACGCCGTGATGAGGAGGAGGAACGTGAGGGTAGCAAACGTGGTGGCACGGGCACGGAACGGGACGCTGCACAATTCAGAGTAATGCTCGTTACACCCAACGCCGAGGCCGTGAGGCCCAGACATGCCGTAGGCGACACTAGTGAATGCCGCGAGGCAGAGTCCACCCATTGCAGAGCCGTAGACGAATTTATCTACAATCAGCTCGCGGGTGAAGACGCCCACGGAAAGGTCGTGCGGGGGCCGTTGCATGATGTCCGGCTGCGCCTCCTCGATGCCGAGACCGAGGGCCAGAAAGGACGACGTGACCAGGTTGGCCCAGAGAATCTCCAGCGGAGAAAGCGGGAAGATGGAAATCCCGTGGCTGTCTCTGAAGGCGAGGCCAATCAGGAGGAGCAACACCTGGGCGATGTTGGAGACGAGGAGGTGGAGGAGGAACTGGAAGAGTATCAGTCTCATATGGTTGGCATCACACACCGGCCAGGGAAATGCGCACCTTTTGAATATTGTCAAACAAGCGTCTGCCCTCCTCGATAGCCGTGACTATCGAGGCAAAGTTGTCGTCTGTTAGCACCATATCTGCCGCCTCTTTGGCCACGTCGCTGCCGTTGAGACCCATGGCGATTCCAATGTCCGACTTTTTCAGAGCTGGCGAGTCGTTCACGCCGTCCCCCGTCATGACACAAAACGCCTTTCTCCGGTGCATAGCTTCCACCATGCGGACCTTGGTCGTGGGGCTGCACCTGGCCAACACCAGAGGCAAATGTTCCATTTGGTCGATCTGGGCATCGCTAAGGTCGTCAAAGGTGCTCGCGACCATGATCTGATTGCTATTGCTGGTTGGAGAGGTCGGGTTGGCGGTTTTCAGGATTCCAATCTCGTAAGCAATAGCCGTGGCCGTCTTTACGTGGTCTCCGGTGAGCATATGGACTGTGATGCCAGCTTCTTGGCATCGTCTAACAGCTGCAGCGGACTCCAGCCTTGGCGGGTCGTACAGTCCGGCCAAGCCCAAGAAGGTGAGATGAGCTTCGACAGCGGAGCGCTCGGGAATATTGTCAACTGCTAGAGAAATCTTCTCCTCGGCATCAGGGGAGCATTTCGAAGGAAAGCTACCTGGGTCGGCCGTTGTTTTTGCTACGCAGAGAACACGGAGGCCTTTCGCCGCCATAGACTCGGCCTTGGCTACGATTCGGGCCTTCTGGTCATCGGAAACATTCATCAAGGGAAGCATGGCTTCAAGGGCGCCTTTGGTGTATGCCGATGCGCCCGCGTTATCCGTGTAGATGACTGTCATCCTCTTGCAGGACGAGTCAAAGGGGTACTCGGCCAGAAACCGGTGGCTACTTGATCCCAACAGGGCAGGCTTACCCATGCCGAACCGCATGGCGAGGACCTGAAGAGCAATCTCGGTGGGCTCACCAATTGCGGTATACGAGGCGTCGGCCTTAGTAACAGTTGAGTTGTTGCACAACGCGACCGTCTCCAAGAACTCGATAAGCCGGATGCTCTTCTCATCATCTGGCAGAGTTCCTGAGGAATACGTCTCGGCGCCAATGCGAACGCTTCCGCTCGTGGGGTCAAAAGGGTGGGTGGTCACCTGAATCGAGATCTCGGTGCCATCGACCAGCCACACGCATTTCGCAACCATTTTGCCTTGGGTGAGGGTCCCGGTTTTGTCGGAGCAAATATTCGTCACTCCGCCGACGGCCTCGAGGGCGGCAAGTTTGCGAATAACCACATTGCCCTTGGCCATGGCGCGAGTCCCAAGCGCGGTTGCGATGGTAAGAACGGCGATGAGCGACTCCGGAATCACGGCAACGGCCACACAAATGCCATAGATCAAGACTTCGCTCGTGACATGCCAAAGACTGACAGAGAAGACGATGATAGCCAGTGTGATAGCCAATGCAAACAGGAGCAAGGCGAACTTGCTCAGGGAGACTTGCATGGGGGTGCCGTCGAGGCCGAGGAGGATGCGAAGGCCATTTCTGACCCTGACCCAAGTCCTCCGGACCAGGCCCATACCCTCTTCGACCTTTTTGCCTCTGCTCGCCCGGAGAATCTCGGCAATCTTGCCCACTTCCGTGGTCATTCCGGTGGCCACCACAACACCAGTGGCGCGACCACGAGTTACAGTACTGGCCGAGTAGACCATGTTGATGCGGTCGCCCAGGGGAACATGGCGATCTTTCAGAATAATTTCTGCGTGCTTGCTGACGGGAACAGATTCGCCGGTGAGCAACGCCTCGTCGGTGGACAAGTTGACGCTGCGCACCAGTCGGAGATCGGCCGGGACAACATCGCCGACGCCTAGCCTGACCAGGTCGCCAGGCACGAGGGTCTCGGCCTTTATGTTGTCAGTCTGGCCAGCGCGGATTACCTTGCACGTGGGTGCAGAGAGTGCGTACAGGGCCTGGATGGTCTGTTCGGCGCGGTAGTCTTGGATGAACCTTAAGAGTGTGAGTCGGCTTTGAGTACTTGTAGCAGAAGAGTTGAGATCTGGGAAGCTTACCCGACCACAATGTTGAACAAAATGACAGCACTGATAACGCCGCCTTCAATGTGGTCGCTGATGGCAAAGGATAGCACCATCGTGATGACGAGAACCTAAGCGCTAGTAAGCGTGACGTTCTTGTGGTTGCACCGCAGAGTGCAGCCGCCAATCGGGCTATCCATCGGCATGGTTTGAAGAACACTTACAATAGTCAGGCTGTTCGAGACCTGCCTCAGGAGAATCGTCCACACGGATAGCCCTTTAGCTCCCTCAACCTTGTTAGGCCCATGGTGCTGCAAGCGACGGGCAGCCTCGGTATTGTCGATTCCATTTCTGGTGAGAAAGGAAAGTTAGCAGTGTAGCACAGAGCGGGGCGACCGGAGGAACCGGACACGAGAGGATTCGAAAGGGCCACAAGTTTTGCAATTGAACCCGCAGGCGAAAAAAAAATCGATAAAATGAAAATAAAAAAGATCACTTACTCGAGGTCTGTCTCAAGCAGAGCGCAAACACTCGGCACGGAGAGGATATGCACCGAGTCCGGGGAAAATACGGGCGCGGGAGCGGTGTCAAAGGTGGTGACGGATCCGCTGGCTACGGTGCCGCCGTCGGCATCGGCAGAACCGGCAAGAGTGGGGGATGGAGTGGAGGACACGGAATTCTTGAAGCCACATATAGGAGGCTCCGTCTGCCCCTCGACGTCAAGGTCGTTCTCTGTCCCCATTCAATTCAAGTGCGTCGCCGTTGAGAAACCCAGCGAGTTTAACACAAAGGGGAAAGAGAAAAAGAGGGGAAAAAGAAGATCCAGAACCAAAAGGAAAACTGTTGAGCAAGGGTTTTAAACATGGCGTGAGAGCGATCCGATCACCGATTGTCCGCCACGCACACGCCGGAGCTCCACCCCACGACGGCTCGGGGTCAGATTCCGCAGCAAGCTCAAGACAGGGAAAAAACGGGCCAAAAAGGCGAGAGCACGGTGGACGGCGTGCGCCAAGTCGATGCAGGAGAGCGACTGCCCAATCCCGCCAGCTCCACCTTCTTGGCCGGTGACACAGCCCCGGCAAAGCGGAGAGCCCTCAGTGGCTCTTTCCCTCCCACGTTTATCGGCCACGTCTTGGCGCTGCCTGCCATGCTCTTCAACCAGGTCACCTGCTTCCTTGGTTGCCCCATAACCTCGTTATTGGCGTAATTCTGCTGCAATGACCAAGCCGAAACCCGTCATTGGGTTGATGCGTTCTGGGCGAGGATTGCAAATGCTCACGTCAACGGACGAGCGCCGATTTGTTCTTTCAAGCAGGTTTACCTAAGGTACCCTACGACATTCGTTCAGAAGCACAGGGTCGAATCTCTTCCTTGCGCATCACGGAGATGAGATTGATCAAACATCAGCACGCTTAGGTGATAAGAGGATGAGGAATAGTTACCAAATTGAGGGGGAAAGTCTATGGCGCCATGGAAAAAGAGGCTGGTATTATTGGTCTGTGGCAATCCGATTATCCGAGTCACCTCACACCTACCCATGAGGTGCGTATTCCGTTTGTCCAACGTTGCCCACTGACAATCAAATCTACCTCTGCAGATTCTTGGTGAGCTCATCCAGGCCTTGTCCATTGCTCATCATACCATCCTGGAAACGTGCTCGTGTTAGCTCGGCATACCGCTTAACAAAGAAAGTTGGACGGGTGTCTTACCAGTGTTGACGCCGGCACCCATCTGGTCAAAAACTTAACCATCCCGCTGTTGGGGCCCTTCCACACCCAGAAACCGCCAGGTTTGCCCACGACGTCCACTACCAGCGACTCAGCCAGATCCTGGACGGAGCCGCCCTTGGGCCCGGCCTGTCCTTTGGCCCAGCGGTTAATGGTGTCCCTAATAGCCGAGTACCGAGACGAAGGCGGTAGAACCACGTCCGGCTCATTCGCGTGGAAGTGCGAGGCGATGGTGCCGACCATGATGGTAACGACGCTCACTTTGAAGGGGGACAGCTCGAGCCGTAGTGTATCCGACAGCATGTTTAGCGCCGCTTTTGAGGAGGAATATATGCCTGCGATCAATATGGTCAGCATGAGCAGACATTAACAAGCCAGCGACGACATTGAAGAGAATGCGCATGGGATCACAGTACCAATCCATGGGGTGTTCACAACCGCTCCAACAGAGCTGATATTGACAACGCGCCCCTTGCTCGCAATCAATAGACCGGAAAAGGCCTGGATAGTCCTCAAAGCACCCCACACATTGGTGTCGTACAACTGCTGGGCCTGGGCCACATCCACATCCAGAAGCGGCATGGTAAGGCCGAAGCCGGCGTTGTTAACAAGCACATCCAGTCCCTTGCCCTTCTCGCTGACAGCCTGGGCGGCCCCGCTGACCGAGGCAGAGGAGCTGACATCCAGCTGAAGGGTCGTCACGTTTGGCAGCCCAGAGAGCTCGGTCGGTATTTTGGCCGTGTTGCGGGCCGTCGCGTAAACATTATGGCCGTGCTTGGCGAGCGCGAGCGCAAGGGCCGCCCCGATGCCGCCGGCCGAGCAGCCCGTCACTAGGACTGTCTTTTTGGATGTGGATGACATGTTGTTGTGAGCTCTGTAAAGACACTAGCGAAACGCGCGCTGGACTGCGAAACAGGACGGATATATCATCAGTAACCGGAGATTGGTAACAACCCGGAGGATCATGTCACGGTTCCTACCGGCAATGCCTGGTACGGTAAGTTTATCTTCCCTGCCACACGATACATATACGAATATGTACCTGGGGTTTCTTGCTTCCGTCCCGCTGAGGCAACGCTTCACAGAATGAGAAAATGCTAGAGTGGCTGGATAGCGCACATCGCAATGCCCAACGTGTTTGAACCGTTATATGAAACCGTCCCAAGCATGATGAATTACAGCTTACCTACGTTTCCGCAGGAATCAATGCATCGTGTTGGGTGTGTTACCGTGGTAACTCCTGGGCATTGGACCCGGCGATCTCGAGGGATTCCCAAGGCATCCACGTGTGCTTTATCGTATCATTGGACGTCTTCTTTTCGGCTTTCTCGGCTATGGCGGAGCTAACTCCTACAATACGACGCACTGAATGTGCTGAACCCAACATTCACCAGTGGTGTCGTTCAGAGCAGGGTTAGTCACGAGATTCTGGGCAAAGTCAGCATTACTTATATATATGTAGGACGGCGAACTTCAACCAGGGAGAAAGGGGACTGAACAAAAAAGCTTTCATCGATGTCACTGGACTATCTGGTTCCTGATGGTTCTGTCACGAACTTGTGAGCATTCTCTCCCTGTCGTGTTGCCTGGGATTATAGGTGGATTTGGATCCCTGTCCAGTGTTACAGAAGACAGCCCCGTTCTTATCACAACGAATATCCTCAGTTGAGTGCATTGTTCCCTAGAGTATTATCCCCGGAATCCGGCGGAAACTGGACAGCTGCTGTGGCAGGATCCCAGACCCTATAATAAAAGGACATCAGGATCTAGGTAATGTCAGCCACAGACTCACTCATTAACCCAGCGCGACACTCCCAAAACGGGGTCTCAAGCATTTTGCCAGCTTATCGCTTACGCGTCTGTGGTGCTCCCCAGGAGCAAGGGCTTCACATAACAGATATAGTATTCTGCGAGTTCTAGACAATGTCTTATTCTAGTATAATCTTGTGCTCTTGCTCTAGACAAAAGCGTCACAACACCGTTACACGTCTCCGTCATGGCTGTAAGATACAATTAGGTACAATACACAACGCTCCTCGGCAGCCGACCTCCCGAGTCCTAACCAAACCATCAACCAAACCCAAGCAGAAAACCCCAATCCACAGTTATCATGTGCACATACATAACAATATCTCCCCTTGAGGCTGGGGCCCATCATACGGCCTTAATGGCTACCTTAATCTCATAGACTCAAAAAATCCAACTCCCGATTCCTCACAACTGGTGAGTTCCCAGCGGCAACTGCACCCCCACTCCCACTCCCACCCCCACCAACGCAAACCTCAGCCGCAACACCGACACCAGCAGCAGCAGCTCTCCGCGCACGCGCCGAGCCAACTGCCTCCTCAACACTCTGCACCAAATCGTCCAGCGTGACAGGCGTCAGAGGCGACCTGCCGTTGACGTCGCCCGGCGTGATGGGCGGCGGAGGCGCGCCCATGGCATGGAGCCAGGGTTCCGTTCCAGCGTGACCCGCGTCGGCGCCACCGTGACCACTAGCAGCGCAGGAGGAAGAGGATGATGATGACGAGGAGGAAGAAGGATCTCTCGTATCGGGCAGGTCCAGGTCCAGGTCCATCACCATAGTCATTGCCAGTGGGCCGTTTTCGTTTTCATCCGAGCGTGTATCTGTATCTGGGCCATCTGTGTTGGTGTTGGTGTTGGGGCTGGTACTGGTGCCAGAAGAGGAGGGGCAGTGCTGAGACACAGAAATGGGGATGAGTTCAGCCAGCGAGGCGGGGGCAGTTGGTTCAATCAAGGCGCCCTCAGAAGCTGAGCCTGTTCCCGAAGCTGAGGACGAAGGCGACGGAGTGAGGGGATCAGACGGTTCAGCCAGCCACTGCTCAATGGTCATGTCCACTGTCGTATCGTCGTCGACTGCGGCAGCTGGGGCAGCTGCCGCATTGTCCCCCGCTGCGCTGGTTGTCGGTGGGGTGGTTTCCGAGTTGGCGGTGAGGTTCGAGTCCAGCGCCAGCTCGGCAGACTCGGGCGCCTGCGCGGGGGTCGGTGATGCTGCCGCCCAGTCCTGGGGCGGGGCACCGCCGTTGTTGATGAATTCGATGCACGAGAGGTGGATCAGATCTAAACTGTCTTGCCCAAAGGTGCTGTCATTGATCAGGCCGGTCAGGTCCGTGTTGTCCACCATGGAAGTGGAATTATCAGGGCTCTGAGACGTGGCCGGAGGGGTTGGGCATCCCGCGTTGGCGAGGAAAGACGGCGCCGGGCAAGAGAGGTCCATGCTGGATAGGCTGGACAGCCGGCGTCTCTTACTGGCACGACTCTCCTCTTCTGGGATGGTCTGAAAGCCGTCCGCAGACAGGAAGTTGCTGGGGGTGATTGCTGCTGCCCAAGGGTTGCTGTCAAACACCATGCTGTTGCCCTGGTGATAGCGCCCGACGACGGTGCTAAAGTCAAACCCTCCCGACTTGGCCATTTCTGAACGGATATCGACGAGCATGATCCTGAGCAGATGGTACATTCTCGCTGCCGGCTGGTACGAGTGGCTCATGTCATAGATTGCAGTGGAGAGCACCTGCAGATACCTCAGGTTGGTGTGGTGGTCAAGCTCGGCGCTCTTGTGTGCCAGAGCGGCCATCAACGCGAGGGCCGCCGTGCCAGCGTGCTGAATCCCGGCGAGTCCTATCCTTCTCCCATCAAACCGCTGGCGATGATGCCAGAAGATGCGGGCGACGCGCACGGCGTGTTGTGTGCACATGCTTCGGGATAAGGACGCCCTGTTATCGTGATGCGGCAGCGGGCCGGCCCACGAAGGAAGCGCGTGCGCCCGGTCGTTCTCATGGCACGGGGAATCGGGGCTCGGATACCGTGCCGCCGCAGCTCCATCAAACGACATCGGCCCGTACTTCGCCCAAGGCCGATGCAGGAGGATCATGCACACATGGAACTGCTGGTGGAGCATAAAGAAGGCCATGTGCGCAGACTTGACGTTTGCGGGCTTCCACGCCAGATTGTCTGGGAGCCGGCGATACCAATTGTGAAAGAGACGTTCCAGCCCAATGAAATGCAGATACGCTCGGTCCTCGGTCCCTTTAGTGACACATGCCTGAGTGGCGCTATACGTCGAGTTTTGGAAGTCGGCAACCTTCCCTGCGAGCTCCATGAGTTCAAACATCTGTTGGTGGATGTCGGCATGGCTTGCCACGGGAGCTCCGGAGCTTGGGTTTGCCAAAGCCTTCCCTGGGGCCCTGGGTAATACGTCAAGGGCAATATCTTGGGCCTTGATGGACGTGGGGCGGCCCAGGAACAGAGCCCATCTTCGGTCAGACATGACACATGCAGCCATGACTCGATGCCTGGCTAGCCTCTCGAGCTCGGACAAATCCGCTCTATTGGGACTGACGTGCAGTCCGATGTCAAACGCTAGGCGGCTCGCCATTCCTTCCGGTTCTTTGTTAGCATCCGCAGACCAAAGCTTGGAAGCAAGGCAGCTTACCCGAGTACATCCAGCCTGTGGTGTCCCGGCCAACACCACATTCCAAGTCGGCCAGAAGGAGAAGGGCTTGAACAATTGGCAATCCTCCGGATTTCTCCAATTCCGTCTCTAACAGGGTCTTGGATTCTCGGTGGAGCGTGCTCTCGCGGTTTCCCATTGTCATCCTCTTCACATCCTCCCGGTCCCAATCAGCAAAGCGGTAGCCAACCGCTAGCATAGTTATGTGGAGGAATGGAGAGTAGAATCTTGGGTCGTGAGCAGTACGGCCGGCCTCAAAGGCTACTTCATCAACCACTTGGTGGCACGAGTTGTAATACTCCCAGAAACAGCGTATTAGGTGGTCGTGAGTGGAAGGTCTGAGGGCGCCGATGAGGCGCTCAGCCCTGCGGGCCTGGTCAGACCGCTCCGGGGCGTTGAAGTAACCAGAAGAGGACTTGGCATAGACATGACTGTTAGCTGTTGGACCGAAGAATCGCACTCTTCCCGCGGACTGGTCAAATGTGTGGGTTGCCCTGGTACAAAGGAGTTGCCGGAGTCCCGTGTCCTTTCTCGGCTCCATATCCTGTAATAGTACGGGGTCGATTAGAGGAAACAGGCTGGTCTGGCTCCCAGGGGCAACATAGCCTCTCGGCTGTGCCGATTCCCTATTGGCGACGTCTTCGTCTCCCGACCCGGGCGGCGTGGGTGGTTGGGTCACAGAGGCGTTCAATGCCTTTGGCTCACAGTCTGTTGACCTCTTCATGACCTGAGCTTGTTGCTCCTCTTGCTGTTGTCTTGCCTGAGCCTCTTGCCTTGTCTTGGGTGGGTGGACAGCAGGAGGAGGAACGACTCCCCGTTCTTTGAGCATCTCCTCCAACAAGGCGATCCGATTAGACAGGGACGACATGTATGCCTTTGAGATCGGTCTTCTCCGCGTTAGATGAGTCGGCCTCAAGCGGGGAGGTAGACACATACCGTCGTCTCTCGTCATCGTCTTTGATGATGCAAGTAGCCCCTGTCCTTCTGCACTGCGCACACTCGGTCTCACCTTCTCGTACGACGCACCGTATCCTTCTCTCACGGCAAGACACGCAGGCGATGGATGCCCGGTGCCGTACCTGCTGTTTGCTGGACGACCGCGTCGAAGGGGCGGGACTGAATGCCTGATCCGGGGTGGATCTATCGCTTTCCCCCGCGGAAGGCGATCTGCGCTTTCCATTCTGACTCGCCGAGGCAGCCATGATTGGACCCTCGGTCACTTCGTGCGTGGTGGATTCGGAGATGTTTGCCTGGACGGTGCCGTTCTGTGGCTATGCGCAGATCTCAGAGGTGATGACGGCAGGAGCAAGAATACAGCTGTCAACAGGAGGGAAAAGCCACCAGACGTTCCAATCCGGCGGACGTGCGAGCTCCCTCTCCGTTAAATGTCTACCCCATCGCCGCGCCCATGGGTTAACAGCCGGGGTTTAAGGATGGAACATCCCAGCTCCTCCGCAATAAAAGCCTGCTAGCACCCCGCAAATCCCCGTACAATGATACCGAGGCCCGCCTGGCTGGGACTGCCCTTTGGATAGCTTCGACTCCGTGACCCACCAGCGTTTCAATAGATAGGTACTGCCACCGGGGTGGCTGTCTCGTACAGTACCCAGAGAATAACGCGCTAGCGGCTAGCCGGTGTGAAGAACTGGGGCATTCAGGGAGGCAGGAATCCACATCTCCCACATGGTCCCAGGATGGTTCTGGGGATGGCGTCGTGGGCGGGGCCTGGGGGCATATGTACTAGGCCTGATACATGATTCTAGTGGCGGACGGTGTTGCACGGCTCTGCAAAAGCTCGGGATTCGGATATAGCTCGATCGCGGCAATTCAATTCACTGCGGAAACAGGTGTGCTGATGTCGACCTTAGCTGTGCAAGCGGGCGGACAGGGACTCGAGCAGCCGGCAACCGATTCGTCAATGCCAGGTTTGGCGAGGACCCAATGGTGTCGAACTGACGCCCCGCAGCCATGCATGATCCCTGGTCCAGCTTGAACTTTTGAAGCCAGCAACGACCGAAGCTCCATAAGGACCCACTGGTATCCAAATGCGGAGATGAAAGTGGAATCGGCACGTCTCCAGCGGCTTGCTCGAGATGCCGCATGGTCATAAACTACGTGTACTGATAAGGGACCGTGAAAGACCGGTAGCGGTCTTGCATAGGCTGAAAGCTCGACGGGCGGTTGGCCTTTGTGTGATATCTCCATCCTGGCAGAACCACAGAACCGTCATGAATGGGCGATGCCGTGTGACATGTGTTTCGGCAGGACTCGGACTAGATACCTAATTGTAGCGTAGTGTACGGATACAATACATACACTACCGGTTTGTTGACGCCTTCAGAACAGAGAACAAGTCATCCGGTCTGGACTGCCGACGCGTGGCGATTATGGACAGAGCGCTTGCGTTAGTCGACTTTCCCCAGAATCACCATTGGGACCTCGCCCCTCGGCATGAACCATTGACTGGTCACCAGGACTCGTGAGGATCCACTTCCCCAGAAGCTGACACCCGGCTGACAAAAAACGAATTGAAGGTTCGTCCACAGATCTGACCAGGATATTTCTGGGGTAAGGCGCAAGGAACGCTTTCCCCGCACGACGAGAAGCGAGGGACGCACAAGGCGCGCTCAAGAGTGGAGTAAGGGGCGTTGAACGAATGCTTCGAGGGGTTGGTCTTGGCTCAAGCAGACCAGGGTAGCTCTCTTCGGGTGTCACTTTTGTGCCCGTCAGAGGAGGATATCATGCAGACAGCCCTGAACTGTAACGATGATCAAGCGGGCGAAATGTTGAAGCCGTCATAGCCCAGAGCGGACAGTGAGCCACGGATTATTAGAATCTTCCTGTCGTGGATGGCGGTGTATCAGAATAAGGAGGCTCACTCGCGGCTCTGTGGCTTGAAACGCGCCGTTTAACCTCATCGTGGCAGTGGGAATGCATTTAGAAAGCAACAGGAGCGCCGGCAGTACAGTGCACGAGGGACGCTGCCGCCTTGCTCTCTAAGCAATTGCGCATATGCTTTTCTATGATATCTCGCGAAATTTATTGACCCAAACGTGAGGAGAATCTGTCAGCTGTTAGGCCTGTTGTTCTGGAGGCTGCTCGCGTCGGCGACCTATGTTTGGAACAACTTCCAAAACCACATCATATCAGCAAGTTGTCTTTTAAGCCAGTCGTGACAATTACTTACGTTCTTGCCAGAGATAATACGAGGTGACGATAAGGAATGGTAATGCCGTCACTGTGCTCCACCACCTGAAATAGGCTCGCTTATACTCTGGACTTGATGTGTCCGCAGGTGGCCGGGTAGGTTCGTTCAGTGCCGGGCGAACATATTTCGGCCGTGGTTCGGGCTCGGGCTCGGGCTCAGCTACCGAGGGTACTTCCGGCTGTACCTCCGGCTGGGTGGCAGGTTCCGAGGCAACGGGGCTACTCTGGCTTAGGACCTGCTCAGTTTTGCGCTGTATATTGCCGGCCGGTGTCTCGGATCGCGGGTGTCCAGTGGTCCTCCTAAACCTCGGGTTCTGGGTTGTAGATTTCCGAGTGCTCATCGTTTTCGTCGCCAACTTCCATGACCGGTCCGGCGTCGGAGCCCTCCCAAACCGCTCGGGTCCTCGTGGCCAACCGTTGAGGTGGCGGCGCAAGGGGGCACCGATGCCTTGGCTTAAGGAAATGCCGTTGAGGCCTCGACAGAACATTGTTTGCGATGTTTCCGACAGTCGCTGCGGGCGCAGTAGCTCAGAAGCGGAGAGTACAGGGAGTTCAGAACAGGGAGCGCGATTTCCGTTGCTTGAACTGTTGTCATTAGCAATTGCTAAAGAAATTCATGTGATTGCACACAGCGGCATGTGTATGGTCGGGTACCTACCTCCAATGGCCGCAATACAGGAGCTCGCTGGCTGTGGTGAATCATTATCAACGAGACGCGATTGCAAGGGGAAATCTCCAGTGGGTCAATTGGAATTTGGAACCAGGCTCCGCGGGCGGGAAGGAAATCAAAACCAGCAGACGCACAGACCACAACGCCGACATTTCCAGGTTGCTTGAACTTGAAGTGGGACCATCGCTGACAACTTCAATTCTTCAGCACAGCTGAGTCCCTCACCGAGTCACCGCGCAATGTTTGGTTTTGATGCAAAACTGATTATAAATGATCAAATTGCGTCTCAGAATGAAGTTGATGCGCAAAATTGCCCTCAACCCTAGGTTATACCTAGGTCAATTGGCAATGCATTAGAGCTTCTCCTTGGTTCGTTTCTCGCTTCTCCCAAACGTCCCTTCCTGCTCCACCATGGCAGCGACTTAGCAAGGCCATGGCTCCTGGTCTTCGAAGCTCTCAGCGGCAGTGACCTATGACGCTCTCCTGCTTCAAGCCCTTGCAGCAGTCCTTGAAGTTTTGTCTCTGGTCCCTATCCACCGCGCAGATCTACGATACTTGAGTCAGCCTCCAATCCATGCACGGCGGATCCCTCCCCTCGAACCACCTACATTATCATAAGTCCGGTAGCCCATTGACTTGCAGCAAGCCAGCGTCTGGGCCTTGAGCAGGGCTCCATCGGTGCTTCTCATGCAGATGCAGTCGTCCGGTTCGAGGTACCAACTGCCAGCGCATTGCTGAGCAATGGCTCCTCCAAACAATCCCAACGAGAGAAGAATGGGGAGGACTCGCATTGTGACTTTTCAAGGATGAGTCGTTATTGCATTGCAGACTACGAGGCGCGGAGCGAGTTGAGATCAGAGGAGCAGAACAACTACTACTATATATGCTCTACCTGCCTGCCTTCCAGAACTTCCATTTACAAAGGGAACACTCGGCCAAGAATAGGTAAATTTAAACTGCGCACTCTCACCCATCTCGCGACCAAGGACTCGCGCCCATTAGGATGCATTTCAATATATAGATGCAGTCTAATGATACATCACGAACACACCTCGGATAACCGGCCGCTGGAAGGCGGGGCCCCGGTACGAAATATCGGGAAGGCGGTCTGTGTATTTGGGTCCTGTTCAATTCCCGGTTCCTGGTAAAGTCGATCAGCCGTACATGACATGAGTCAAGCCTTTGGTCTCTTCTACACCCGGCTTCTAGATATGTCACAGTTAACCTGATCGACACCCGCATAGCCACTGCTTAAGGCTTGAGTCAACTTTTTGTTTCAGAAATTTCATCAACCTATGGACTCTTGATAGAGACTTCCAAGTCTGGGGATTGGCCTGCGGTCCGTCTCACTCGATGAGCAGAATAGCTTGGAAAGATGAGGCTTCATGGACAGTTTGAATGCATCAGAGCCCGGCTAAATCAAGTTCGGGAAATATCCAAGCTTACCAGCATCTCGTCCTCCTCCCATAACAACCCAGAAATAGACAGTTAGTCCTGCTGCACTTTCCTTGAACGCCACTTTTCAATATCGGTGCAAGCTCCTCGCCTCGGAGTGCTACATAAAGTAGTGTCAGCGGGAATTTACTCTATATATGATATTGCCGCTCGAATCATGATGGCTCGAGAGTGCGTCCCGTTCCGGCCCCATATTGCTCCTCTCCCAGAGTCTTGGGTAGCCCCAGCTCACCTGGGGCTCTCTCTGTCATTAACTGTACTACCTTAGGCACCAACCACCAAAGAGTTGATGACATTATATGACAGAAGGTCCTGAAAACTAGAATGGGTACGCAGCCAGGACCGACCGGGTAAAGGGAACCCCTCAGAGTAATAATATAGTCTGGCCGTCAACAGCCAACGCATGCAGTTGCCAGTGGTCAGACACTGTAGCACCTAGCAATTATTGATAGGAGTCTTGATACCGTGCCCTCTGACTCGGGGCATCCAGTTTTCCAATATGAGGTAGATAACAGAACGTCAACAAAACCCCTTACCCCTTTTAGTGGCAATAAGGCAAGGATATGAGTAACTATGGCAACCAGCACAATCGTATAACAATTCCAACACCGCACCCTACGAGGTTTGGCCCAAGCCTCGTCCACCCTGTACAGCATTTTGGGAGCTATGATATTGGAGTGTACAAGGACGTCGATGATGCTGGTAGGCCAAAATAACCTCCAGTTACTCCGGCTTTTATTCCCGGAACCATCCAGTCGCCGAGCATCGGACCATATCAAAACCCAAGATCCCTACACGGTAGACATCCGGCTTTGCGAGTTTGCATATCCCATAAAGGTGTTAACCTGGAAAAGAGTACGAAACTACCATATTCAATGTTGAACGAGAAGGTTGGAGTATCAAGGACCAAGCCGACCTGTGCCCTGGGCCACAGGACACAGGTAGGATTATAGCCGAAAAGCGAGTGATCCCACCCTATTTCTGTCCCCTAACTGTCATTATTAGCCACCTGACACCTCAAGTGTTGATGTTCAAGTCGAAAGAAAACAACATCGGTACACCCACGAACGGCTTCTCTCAGTAGGACACACCTCAAGTCGGAGTTTTGACTCAGAGATCTCGGGTGAAAGTGATTCAAAGCAGTAAAAGTCGGTGAGAACCGAACAGCTCCCGGAAGTGGCCGACCAACCCCACTGGCAGCTTATCTCGATGGATCCCAGAGAAGATGTACGACGCTAGAACATCCCGATGTGCATATCGTGGCTTACATATCAACGAATTCCACTGCTTATCTCTATGGAACTAGGAAGCAACATATAGACCTTCGCGTTGCCGGCATTCCGCCCGACTTTGCTTATATACGATGGACTTCCTTCGGCCTTCTGTAAATATCGAACTCCTTTCCCTCTACTAAGCCTCCAACGACTCAGCCACTGGTCGTTCTCAACTTCACTTACTCGGCCTTAACTTCTCAACACTTGGTAAGCACCGTACCTGGCCTCACTTACCTAGTCAGCATCTCGCTAACAAATCGGACTGAATCTTTGCAGGGCAGACGACAAGATGAGATATCAGGAGTATGCCGCTGCTGCACTGCTGAGCCTGTGCTCCCTCAGCGGGTTGGCTTCAGCAGGCTTCGCATCCAGGAAGATTGCGCCCAAGGTGATGATCATAAGCATGGTAGGTAAACCCGCCCCTTTAACCTCACCACCATCATCCAGGAAACTTACCCGGTCCTGGCTTCATCGCAGTTCACCCCTGAGGCCAATATCTGGTACTCCAACCTCCCCAAAAGCGGTCTCGGCGATCTCCTAGCCCGCAACATCTCCGCCCCCGGCCTCTCCGTACAATTCCCCCACATCCACTGCACTTCAGACGGGTCCATCTGCCAGGTAACCACAGCCATGGCCGAGATCAACGCAGCCGCAACCATGACGGCCGTCATCCTCTCCCCGCACTTCGACCTGCGCAAGACCTACTTCCTGATCGCAGGCATCGCCGGCGTCAGCCCAAAAGTCTCCACCCTCGGCGGCGTAGCTCTGGCTCGGTACGCCGTCCAAGTCGCGTTGCAGTACGAGTTCGACGCGCGGGAGATGCCGGGGAATTTCTCGGTCGGGTACGTCTCGTACGGGACCACCGCGCCGAATCAGTACCCGAAGACTTTTTATGGGACTGAGGTGATGGAGGTTAATGCAGCGCTGCTCGATGTGGCGTTTGGGTACGCGTCCAAGGCCAAGTTGGCGGACAATGCCGAGGCGGAGAGCTATCGTGCACGGTACAAGGCTGGGGGTGAGGAGTTTGCGGCCGCGACGAGGGGTCCGAGTGTGGTCAAGTGCGATGCGGCCACGAGTGATGTGTATTACTCCGGGACGATTCTCAGCGAGGCGTTTGAGAACGTCACGGCCATTTGGACCAATGGCACGGGCAAATATTGCATGACGGCGCAGGAGGATAATGCGACTCTTGAAGTCTTGATGCGCATGGCCATCCACGGCCTGGTTGATTTTGCGCGCGTCATCGTTATGCGGACGGGTAATACTTTATTCTCGCTCATGTGTTCTGACTTGCCGTCTGGTAGCTGCTGACATGTCGACGTCTCATAGGGTCTGACTTTGATCGTCCGCCTCCTGGTGTCAGTGCATACGACAACCTCTTCGTAGTCCAGCAGAACGGGTTTGAAATTGCCATTGAGAATATCTATCTTGCGGGCGTTGAGATTGTGATGGGCATCTTGAAGGATTGGAACCGCACCTTTAAGAAGGGAATTGCACCCAAAAACTATATCGGCGACGTCCTTGGCAGTTTGGGCGGCAGTCCAGACTTTGGCCCGGGAAGCACGACGGCTTGAGCGGGAAGAAGGTTGCGCCCTGATATCTCTTAGCTACGTCTTGCGACGGCACTGGGGTTTTTGCCGGTTGATGATGAAACGCAAGACGCAAAGCTCACTGGCATCACTGCATGAGACAGTGGCTTTCTGAGTTCGATGTAAGCTCATGGGGAAGGGACTGCACAATAGCCCTGCGGTATATGTGCCTTCTCTGACCGATGGTGAGGAGGAGGCTTGTACATTCTAGCATTCAAACTTGAGTTCATCAAGTTCGAAATGGTATCAAAGGCACTGTATATACTTACAGGAAGGTTTTCTAGATGACATTACCCCCTTCCGCCTTTAGATGTGGACCGGTGATTATTATCTAAACTTTGATCGGATGAAAGACGGCCAATGAAGGCGGCAGCTTTTCCGATTCGGAAGCCGATAAAAAGTGTTGCGGCTTGCTCCACTCAATTCAGCGAATCTCATTTACAATACCTTGTTGTGCAACATCCAGTACTCGTCAGGGCTTCATAATCGCCATCGGCCCCACCACTGCGTGGAGGGTCAGGTCCTCTGATTTAGGGAAAACCTTTGATTCAGGAAATTCCACCACTACATGCCCTACCATACAAAGTTGTTAGCAACTCAATGTAATACCGTCTTCTTGCATCAATATTGCTTGCGTGCATGCACATCATTTCGGACCGCGCCAGACCTACGAAAAACTGAGCTCATATACAATACCAGACCTACATTCACAATATTTGACTGTATTCCAATTGTTGCAGGTGGATTGCATTGCTTTATCGCGTATCCTAGAGAATGGTAGCGATAGAGCGATATCCATGATGCTTTCAAGGTGGGTGGATGCAATTACTATGGTGGATAAATCACTATGTTATACGGATAGATGTTGACGGTATGATGCATGAAAATAGTATACCTGGATTTGTATGGGATGCGCTAGTAAATGGAAGTACCTGAATTTCCTGAATCAAAGGTTTTTTCCTGAATCAGAGGACCTGACCCTCCACGTAGTGGTGGGGCAGATGGCGATTATGAAGCCCTGACGAGTAAGTGTAATCTGGACTCTGTTGATGTTCGGTTGCCAAACCAACACAGGTGCGGCGAAATGAGTCTTGGAAGTCGTGGAACCTCAAGTTCTGAAGCGACTGAAGTTTCCCTGAACCGCCGTCAATTTGAGGTTTGCACACTGTGCCGAATGTCCTTTTTACTGTGCACTAACACCGTGCCTCTGCAGCCACCGTGACTGCCGCTGAGGATCCGGGTTCAGCACAGCAATCGGCGGGAACTCTCCCACCAAATATTGGACCTGGCAACGACAATGACGACCAACAGGGCCTCGGAAAATACTACATAGTCGCCACATCACGAGGCAATAGCTGAAGCCAACACATCCAGACCATCATGGGAAGTTTGTCCCTTAAGAGCGCATCTTGAGCGCGTCTTATTTAGCTAGCAATGTCGCTTGTCCCCTACCATCCGCGCGAGGGCCGAGAAGTGGTGCTGTACGTCACGCCATCCCTGTCTGCATTGTTCAAGACTCGACTCGAGAACCCTCAATAACTTAGCCCTGCATGTGCCCGTGAACTTTGTTTGCTAACCCAATCTTTCACTTGCAGACGACACCATAATGCCATTGTCGTCCGCGACCCCTCATCACAGCGACTTGAGATTCGAGGCCTTCAGCTGACCGAGTGTCCGACTTGCCACCAACCCTTACGTTCTCCATCACCCAACTCGCACTTCGAAAGCCCCGACCATGACGAGACATATGTCGACCCAGGATATTTCCGCATGCTGCGTGCCGGCCACCACGGCCAAAGCCCCTCCCCATCGCGTCCACCTTCGAGTCCCGTGCGCCGACTGGTTGAGCCGCTGCCGGGGGGCACCCACGACCATGTCGACGATGCCGAGTTCGTGAGCAGCTCGCCAGCCCCTCAGGGAAGCAGCCGGATCCGACGGGAGGCATTTAGTCCAAACTATTTCAACACCTTCTTCATTGAAGAGAGGGAGCTTGGCAGAGGCGGCAAAGGGGTGGTGATGCTGGTCAGGCATGAGATCGATGGGTGCCACTTGGGGCATTTCGCCTGCAAGCGCGTTCCGGTGGGAGACGATCACGCCTGGTTGGAGAAAGTCCTAGTCGAAGTCGAGCTGTTGGCGAAGCTGTCGCACCCCAATCTAGTCTCTTATCGCCATGTATGGTTGGAGGACGTCAAGCTCAATCGCTTCGGCCCCAGCGTCGTGTGTGCCTTCATTCTTCAGCAATACTGCAACGGCGGCGACCTGCAGCGCTACGTCGTTGGCGATACGCCGAAACTGACAACCAAGGAGGAGCTCAAGGCCCAGATGCGCCGCAGATCCAAGGGGCAGGCCGAGCGGCCGCAGGTACAAAGGAGGCTGCACCCTGAAGAGATCTACTCGCTCTTCAAGGATGTCACCTCCGGCTTGGCCTACTTACACGCAGCAAACTACATCCACCGAGACCTCAAGCCGAGCAACTGCCTGCTCAACCGCGAAGGCACCAAGCTAACCTGTCTGATCAGCGATTTCGGTGAAGTGCAGCCAGAGCATGTAGTCCGCAAATCGACGGGATCGACAGGCACAATCTCGTACTGTGCGCCCGAAGTCCTGAAAAAGGATGCCAGCGGACGATACGGCAACTTCACTACGAAATCCGATGTCTTTTCCCTGGGCATGATTTTGTATTTCATGTGCTTTGGGCGTCTGCCCTATCGCAATGCCAATGCGGTCAATGAGGAACTCGAAGACATTGACCAGCTGCGTGCCGAGATCACGGACTGGAAAGGCTTTGAGGACGAGCGGAGAGAGCGACCAGAGCTCCCCTCAAAGCTGTACCAGCTCCTCAAAAAGTTACTCTCCGTCAACCCAGCAGAACGACCCACGGCCGGCGAGGTTCTGAGCGCCATGGGCGGGCCTAACCTGGACGGCGTGATGCGAGCATCGGGCAGTTCCAGTCCACCCGTCATCATCCGCGGACAAAGAATCCAGAACCTCGACTCGCCGATGCCCCCCAGCTCCCCAGTTCCAGGTTGGTCCTCTTTGACCCTCCCCGACACTACTAATCCCCCGTCCACTCACGCTTCAGTCCCATCCCCAGACCCCTCCAAACACGCCCGCGTCAACGGCTCCCCAGAAAGCGCCGCCGACGACCACGCCACCACCACCCCCGACACCACGCACACCACCTCCCTCCTGACGAAACGCATCTCCCCTCCTCCGACGACGCGAGCAGGGTCCCGAAACCGCCGCACTCAAACACAACGGCAGCACACCACCGGTCCCAGTCAAGCCATGACCCTCTCGCGCAGTCAGCAAAGCCACCATGCCCGCCGCCTGTCGTCGTCCGCCTCGCCAGAGCGAAGAAGAAGAGGCAGCAGCAGCATCCCCGCGTCCGCGTCCGCGTCCTCCCCGCTCGCCAGCCCTGTCGTCGCAAGCATCACCACGCCTTTACTGATGCCCCCTCCGACCACGCGGCTGGGGCGTGTGAGACAGGGTGTGGCTCTGGCAGGGTACCGTGTTGCGCGGTGGTGGGCTGGAACTGTGACGGGTGGGGGACGGGCTGGAGGGGAATTGCTGAGGCTGGGCCTGTTTGTGGGCAAGTTGGTCTCGCTGTGGTGGGTGTGCTGGCCGTTTAGTGCTGGGTTGGGTATCTTGGTTGCGGTGGTGGGGTTGGCGGTGGCGGATTTGGTGGATTTGCAGTTTCATGATGGGAGTGGTGGGGGTGGCGGTGGTGGCGGTGGTGGTGGTGGGGATTATACTCATACTCATGTTGTCGAGAGGAGTCGAGTCAGGGGGGAGTTGGAGGGTGAGGACGAGGACGAGGATGGGGAGGACGAGGATCGTCATGGGTTGCACCGGCAGCGCGCATCCTCAGCCTCCGGGCCGCCGTCAGGCACTACTGCGGGCGGTCGGGATCGAAACGGAAACGTCTGGCTTGCGCGCGGCTGGCGCAGATCTTGTGTTCTGATGGCGCTGCATTGTGCCTTGCTCGGGGTTACATCCCGGTTGGGTGTCCTGTGTGCCGCGCCGCCGCTGCAGCACACTGTGCATAGGGGGGATGTGAATATGAAGGAGTGGGGGGATTGGTGAACTGCTGAAGACGGCAGCGGCAGCGGTTTAGGAGCGTCGCCATGTCCGGGCTGCCGTCAGTCACTGTTGCGGTTGTTAGGTTGGTGCTACAGGCGGTCCGGACGGCAACATACACCTGGCTCTCGCGCGGCTGGCGCCAGTCCTGCGCCCTGTAGTGATGGCTTTGCATTGTACCCTGTTCGGTGTTACATCCCGCTTAGGCGTGCTGTGTGCCACGCCGCCACCGCTGCAGCTGCACAGAGGGAATTTGACGGGGTGGGCGGATTGGTGAACTGGTGGACTGGTGAAGCACTGAAGATGGCGGGTTGTATTGGGGTTTGGGGTTTGTTACGGCATGCAAACATGCACCAAACCTGAACCCAAGCAACATGAAGGGTGGAACCAAGCAACAACCACGCAAATATGCAACCGAGCACACGAGCAAGCAAGCAATTACATCAAGCAACCAAGCAACAAAGCAACGTGGTAGTATGCCTTTGTTTCCCCCCCTTTTTTTTTCTTTTCTTCTTTTTCTCTATCTATACTTCTCCTCTTTTGTTCCTGTGCTCGGTATATGCGGCGTTGGGTGGTGTGGTCAATACCTCGTTTGCTGATCCTCAGGATTGGACAGCCGATGCTGCGGTATACTTTCTATGCTTTATTGCATCCTTTCTGTTCAAGGCACTTCTTTGGGGGCGTCTTCCTGTGGACTTCCCTTTGGGGGCGTCGTCCTGCCTGGCATTCCCTTGGGGGGCGTCTTCCTACCCGGCGTTCCCTTGTGCAAGTTGGGGGGCATCTCCTGTGTGGAATGCTGTGTGGACTGTCCTTGGAGGAAACGCTCGGGTCAGAGCAATCATGATGCCTGTACGATTCACACGAATCACATGGGGATGACGATGATGAACCCTCTATCGGAAGCATCACGTGCAACGATATTTTGACCCTGACTTGGGTACCGTCTTTATCCTGCTATTGAGGGTTCTTTCGGGTCGGGTAATCTCTGACCGGCTTTGGACGGGACGATGATCAACCTCTACCGGAACCATCAGTCACATGCACGATATTTTTGCCCCGACCTGGTATTGTATTGTCTTTCCGCCATCGAGAGCTGTTCGGGTCGGGTCATCTTTGGCCGATTTCATGTTCGGAATTCCACAACATGGCTTCGGCATCTTGACATCCGTGGTGCTGCTCCAGTCTGTACTGTAATAAAGTCCCTTACAAGTGGTGGGATCTGGGATTTGTAATTGTACGGTGATGAAAGACAGTTGATTGGGCCACTGGCGGTTCGTCTGCTCTGGGGGGCGAGTGAGCAGTGTGTCTGGTCCCAGGACTTGCTCCCTTCCCTTCTGGCCCAAGCGTGTCGTGTCAGGTTTATGATGCTCACACCGGGGCGGCTGGGGCAAAGCATTGAGACTACTATACTTGTACCGCCGAGGTTGTATAGGTAGTTCATGGCGGGGGACAAATCAGGGGCCTGCGATTGATTTGAGCGTTTGGGGGAGGGGATATATCATGTTGAGCATATCAAATTAACAAAAGTCAGTTGACCTGTTTTTGCTTTGCTTTGGAGGGATCTTTCAAGCTCTGATAAGATGGTCCCAACTCGAGGCGGGGTTTAGTTTTGGAGCTTTTCTGTCCAGATCCAGAACCTCCGAACGCTCGGCTTGCTTGCTTGCTTGCTTGCTTGCTTACTTGTCCCCTCCCTTATCTGACTCTGCTTTGTTCTTGTTCGCGGGGATGTTTCGTTTCGGGAGAAGCTCGTGGGACGGGCCGGTTTGCGGCTGATCTCAACTGAGCAAGCCGAGCCGGCCCGCGCAAGGCCCTGACTGGATGGACCGTCGACTCTGAACTGGTGGTCCGTGGTTCTGTGGGATATGATAGTGGACTTAACTTATGAAATCCCCCTCCTCACTTCCTCGCTTCTTCGCTTCCATGGGGTGGGGACGCCAGTGTCGATCGAGGTTGGTGGTCTTCTTCGCAGCCTTCTGAAGCCGTTTCTCCTCCCTTTTGCTATTTCTCCGCTCCGTTGTTTGAAGGTTTATGGGTGATGGGTTATAACAGATGCTTGCTAAGCAAACCCCACCAGTTTTCCATATTCCAAGGATGGCTCGGCATTGGGCTTGAAGGAAAGGACTTTGAGAACATGATGTGGGGTTGAAGCGCGGGCAGGCAGGCAGACCAAGGACGCTAGATGTCGTGTCGTGGTGGACAGTCCCCGAGCTTGGCCGTTCCTTCCAGTTGCCATGTCCAAGGTAGTGACCCTCGTGTCGAGTGGCCCTCCCCGCAGAGGACCTCACCTACCACAGACCTCGCAACCTGGAAAGCGGTGGTTTGAAGGACCTCGCTGAAATCAATTCGACGCGGTGGACGATGCACGGTCTGGAGAAGCCTCTGCTCAATATACGGGATGGTTTGCGATCCTGAACGTACCGCTTGCCATTTCAATCTGGTTCTTGGGCATGTGCTGCGCGACATCAACCGGATAGCGCTCGACCAGACATGCCTTCCCTCCATGACGAATCGTCGAGGGAACTGGGCAGCAGGAGATGCCATAGGCCCATAGGAGGGCCCTTATCACAAACCTCTTGTTTTGTTCTTCATCCCCATACTTTACTGTTTGCGCAATCCAGCGGGCGTGTTATGCTTGGTCTGGCAAACGACCGTGTTTACCCTATTTGCTCTCACCCCAAATGCACAAGATCAATCACGATCATAAGGGAGAGCTATATCGGCCTATTTGGTTGGGGTGGACAACCTTTGTGAAAGAGCATAAGTACAGTGATCGCACCCCCCAGTGCAGGTTATCGGCAAGCGTGTTAAGCTGATCGTTAAGATGCCGATGAGTCTGAGGAACAGCTACACCTCCCTGAGAATTGCTGGGCTTATGTCGTCGTATATAGCTTCTGCTTCTTCCATCCGATCTCTACTGTGACCATGGGCGATCTTTGGGTTATGCTCCCAGTATCTTTGGACCACCATAGACTCCTCCTACTCGAGGCAAAATTCTCGATTTTCGACTTCCCGTTCTCACTCAGGAAAAGAAGAGACAAGCGCTCTGCGAGTTCCACAACTACACGACGGCGCCATACCTTCCAGCTTCGCAGCTTGACAAGAACAAACTTTACATCATTTCATTGCAGCGATCCGATACCACGACCTCAAAGTTTATATAAACTCATCTTATTGCACTCTTCATACATCTTCCCTACTTTCTAACCAAAAACTCCGCCAGTCGTTGACAAGATCCCACCCAATTCTCGTCACGCTGTCTGCGAAGCATTTCCTCTCTCTCAACCAATTTCAACGAGAAGACAGAATATTTCACATCCAAAGTACACCAGATAAAATCCATCATTAACCAAGATGTGCTATCGTAAGCACTATATACACCACCGCTGTGGCCACCAGGTCACGTCCCTAGTTGAAGAATGTGGTATGTCCCCAACCTCCGCGCTCACCCCATTCGGAAAAGGAAGAACGGAAGGCATTCCTGTCGACACGAGCTGACAACTGTTCCTCCTCCAGGCAATCCTGAGTGCCACACAATATCAGACATCGAGACCGTGTCAAATAAATACCCGTGCATCGTCTCGGGCTGCCCGTTCTACGGGCGCTTTGACTAAAAGACCCAGGAGAGGACCAAGAGGGCAGCCTTGGTGGAGAGCGTAGAGAACTTCAGGGTGGAGATTGCGGAGTTGAGAACGAAGCTCAACGAAACTCCTACCAAGGCGCCAGCAAAGCGGCTGCTCAAGCGTCCGGGGCACCTACCAAACACACGACCAGGAGCCAAGCGAGGCTCGAGGAGGACCCTGACTATGAGGAGGAAGAGAATGCTTGATTGGCATGACAGAGTCCTCAGACGAGAGCGTTGGCTAGGAGTTGGAGGTTACGAGGGTATACCATTTAGTCAATACAGAGACCGAATTGCAGCGGAAGAAACGAAGAACGAGCCGGGTCAATGCCAGGCGACCCGCCGACAAAGTCAGATGAAACACTAGGTTGCCCGCGGCCTAGAAGACTGACTGACTCTTGATATCACGTTGAATCGTTGATGAACAGCCTACAGCCATCTTCCCCTCGGGGTAAACAAGTAAGTATCTTCAGGGTCCTCGACCAGACGTGCCAAGCTAACATGATTTTCCAACAGCCGCCGTCTGCCACTTCCGCTGGTCCTTCTGAGGCTACGCAGTCCGCCAATCCGGCCTCTTCACCTTCTGGCCTTGGGATGTTGGGTCGTGGGTGGACTTGAATTATGTGGTAAATCCCTCCGCCATTCCAACCGGACCGTTTCAGTGACATCAGACGGACTGACAACGGCACCTCAGCCAGGCGACCCCGAATGCCGCTCCGTCAAAGACGTGGAGACAGTTTCAAACAAGTACCCCTGCGTGGTACCAAGCTGCCCGTTCCACGGGCGCTTTTAAAAAGGCAGGGCTCGAGGGTGATGGCAGAAAGCCAGAAACCCAGCAAACCTTGGCCGCCCACTTGGGCACGCCTTCTCCCGCGCCTCGTGGCCGGGCCGTGTCGCTGGCTCCGGGTCTCATCCTGCCCGTAGTTTTCCCGCCTCCGATCCCCTTCCGCCTTCGCCGGGACGACCGCTGCCCTTTCCCCTTCTGTGCGCCGACAAGCCCGGGCAACCCGCCAGCGGCTGGCTCGGCCCGCCCCCGCGTTCGAGGTTGAGGAGTATAAGAAGGAAGAGCAGGCGAGTCATGATAAGGAGGACGACGAGGATGTGGACCTGGTCGACGTCGATCACAAGTGAGCTGCTAGGCCACTCCGGCTGGTACCTTTTTATATATATCCTTTACCAAATTTCTCCATCCCATACCGCCTCCGGCCCACAGGCTTCTTCTGCCCGCGCTTACTGGTCGCTTTCTCCTTGTTCTCGGCCTCGGCGGCTACGCCGTCGAAGGGAACTCAGACCACGAGGACATGGAGCTGTTGCCGGAAAAGCGGCATATTTATCATGGCCACGCTCGCGGCAATGGGAGTGAGTGTTTGGGAGCTTGCTCCCTGCATGAAATGCATCCGATCGAGCCTTCATCGCGCTAATTACGAGGTTGAGGTTGGCGACCTGATCGACTTCCAGTGTCCCCATTATATACCGTCAGGGAGGTTGGACAGTCTGTAATAGACGTGCATGTTGTCTCAAACAAATACCCCTGCATCGTTCCGGCTGACCATTCTACGGGCGGCTCCAGTCAGCTGAAAACGAGCCGGGTCCGAATGAAAACAACGAGCGGCCATGATCAACAACGGCTTCTTCCTGAGGAAGCAAGGTCAGGGCATGCGACCGTTAACGGTGGTGAGAGCAGCAGCAATGCTACTGCTGATGCCGAGGGCAGTGGCAATTGCCTATACTACGTATAGTAGTCATAAGAAGCAGAGCGACGCCGCAAAGGCGTTGCCGATGCAAAGGCATGCGACGATGTTGGTAGCTTCAGGAATTTGTCGTCCTTCTCTGCGGCCTCGAACCAGCGGGCCTCCTTGATCTCCCACGGCTCGGACTCCTCAGCCGCTGAACAACTGCAGCCGCCCGCCCGCCTTCCCACCAAGAAAGACAAGGGACAGGGAAAGGCGCGTCGCCGTCGCCAGCGGCAGTGGCAGCGCCGCGCCCAAGCGGAAGAGGGGGTGCCTCTTCCAAAAAATTCGGTATGTATTTCCAGGCCGCACAGCAGCAGGAAAAGAGCGGAACCGCTGACGGTTTGATATACTAGAGTAATAAGAAGCAGAAGTTGTCCCAGGATGACCTGAACAGACGTGACCTCCCCTGCGAGCTGGACGGCAACGGGCCGTTGCCCGATGGGCAAAAGAAGACATTCACCAAAGATACGAGACGCGCACCTCACGGCAATTTTTGAGACTCTAAACCGATTTTCAGCCCCCCTTTGTGCCCATCCCAGCATTCCCGGAGTTCTGCATTCGGTGTCTGCGCTCGTCGATTATCGCTTATAAGGGCAGTCATCCAGTCTCGAGCCCTTCAAGTTCCGTTGTGTCATGGCCAAGTCGGGCGTGACTCGGTGCCTGCAGTGCACCAACAGGAAGGACACGTGTGACCCGGTCCTCCCTCACATGGCCGGTGATGGCTTTATCTTGGCGCACATCGTGGGATAGGTGACCACGATGTACTTTAGACTTTAGTCAGTTTTCGCAACTGGACGGGACTGGTCCCACAACGTGGGTAACCCAGAGCTGCGAATCAACACCAGCGCCTAGAGGACTCAAAATTCTGTCAGGCTGAATTCTCTGGGCTAAAACCAATCAAAAGCAAGTGAGAGGGTGTGGGTGCGAATAGTTGACTTTTGCGTGGTGCTGGCCTTCGCGCGGCATCGGGTGGACCACTGGACCTGCTGTGACCCCTTGTGGTGAACAGTGGTGTCTAACAAGCACCGCCCGGTTATACTAAAATGCTACGGCAAAGGCGCCAGCAATCTCATGGAACTGGGCGAGCGACAGGGTGTCTGTTGTACCTGCGGCCGCGCCGGCTACGTCGCCCAAGCCGCGTACCTACTGGTTCTGGAACCCAAGTCCCCAACATTGCAGCGAATTGCAACAAAAACACTCGGAGGAACCGCGGCGGTCAGACAGGCAGCGGAAACAACGGTCAGAACACAACCAGTTCATCATCTACCGACAGGAAGGTTCACCGTTCGGCAGGCGGGCTACCTGGCAGGGAGCTAGCCTTAAGGACTCAAAAGCGGGTGGGGCGCGAGCTGGCGGTGGCTCCCACACGGATCGATCCTCGACAAGTCTGATGGATGGATGGGCCATCGCACTCATTGACCTATCCAACAATGGCACGGCCTGGACTTTATGCCTTATGGTTGATGCCGGTGGCGGCAGGGTGTGATCAATGGCGACGGGCGAGGTACTTCCTGGAATTTGGGCTTACGGCATGCCGACTTGGATTCCCAAGAGTAGAAGGCGAGGGGTTGGTGGGCGATGGGCATAGCTTGCTATCACTCTTCTGTACAGATTTGTTGTATCCGGAAAAACAAGTCTCAGGACAAACGATATGAGCTGACTGGGAAGGCGCCCAGGTTTATCGTATACTAGGCCAACGCGGGCGGGCCATCGGTGGCTCTCTTCTTCAAGAATTGGATCATTCCATCGAGAAAAGAAAAGGTCGCGTTCACGGCGTTGGTAGGGAGATACAGAGTAATAATGAAGAGGCTGCCTTTTGGGTGCTCCCACTTGACGAGGTAGATAGGGGCCCAAACATACGTTTCTTGGAAACAGAGAGGAATCTGGTGCTGGCGTGTCGTCCTGAAGATGAAAAGACCTGGTAGAGACACAGTATTAGAGGACGGCGAGGTGTATACATGTAGATTAGCTGTCAAGTCGGAATGGCATCAACTTAGCCCTCGACTGTCAACACAGCGCCGTCCTGGCCTACAAGTATGGTTGCCTGTGGCTAGGCGTCGCCCTTGCGTAGGTAGGTGGACGGCAGGGAGCTGAGCACGTGGACTGGGAGTAACGAGCCAGCGAGGGAGGTATATAAGCCTCGTTTTTCCCCCGGTAAAGCAAGTTAGACTCCGCCAGAGGATTTATCCTGTGGCCGAGTGGAGAATGCCAGCTAACTAGAAAATCGTTGCGCACGGTTCCGTAGGGCGGGAGGTCACGGGTTCGATTTCAGGCAGAACCGTGGCGCTCCTACCTGAGCTTTATGCCATTTTTTTGCTCATTTTTCCATCCGATGTTGCTCTTCCGGAACCAGTCCCCACCCATCAACACCCCTACGGCTCAGGTTCTGGTAAACCAGCCCCTTGGCCAGGCCTTACTGCAGATACACCAACAGCGCCTCAGTCGCCTTAACCTCGAGCGTAACCCTCGCCTCCACCACACTCACCACCTCCACCCTGTCCTCCCCCTGCAGCACACACGTCCCATCCTGAAACTTCTGCCCACCAAACGTGATCTCCCCTCCCCGATCAACCCTATCCATCGCTCCCCCCGGCGAAGTCAACCTCTTCGCCCTAACCCTTTCCAACCCCCCCGGCAACCCCGTCAACGTAAACCCCTCCACCCTCCTCGCCCCACTCCCACTCCCAGTCCAATACTCCGAATTATACAACAACACTCTCAACGGCCGTCCCTCGCTATCAAACGTGACATACCCCGCAAACGCCGAATTGCCATTGTCAAGCGCGGCCAGGTGCCGCGCGCCCCCGCCGAGAAGTGCAACAGCGGCCGTGGCACCGTAGTACGGCGCGCCCATGCTGTACCGGCCCCAGAAGCAGTACTGGCAGTTGCCGATGGTACCGTGGTGGAAGTAGGTGCGGGAGATGTTGCGGGAGGTTGCTTGGAGGACATAGTCCATTGTCCAGAGGGCTGCGCCGAAGGTCGGGGAGACGTTGGCTGCGCCGCCGCCGGAGACTGGATTTTAGAAGAAAAAGGGGGGTTAGTGGATATGTCTACCGGACGGGGGGTGATGTTGATGGAACTGGAACGGTGGTGGTGGTGATACAGATGAAAAGGGGCAAGGAAGGGATGACATACCACTGTTCGTCTCCCCCAAGACATACTCCCTCCCCGACCTCCTCACAGCTGCAACATCCGCATCAAACAATCCCCTGACATTGCTCACCGTCTGCGCATGGCTCTGCAGCTTCTGTACACTTCCCCCCGGATAGTTATGATGCGCATAATGCCGGATGTACTGCCTCGCCTGGGGGGTCTCGCGCGCCATCATCTGCGCCGCGCCCCATTCCGGCGGCGCCTGGTTCCAGTTGCCTGCCTGAATGATATTTGGCCTACCCACTGCGCTGCCCAACCGCGTGATCCAGCTTATCTGAGAAGCTGCGTCCACTGCCGGGTTCCAGGTGCCGCGGGCGATGGGTTGGCCGTCTTTGGGGTAATCTAGCGCAGCAAAGTCAGTAGTTAGTACGATATGGCATGCTGGACATTGAGGCAGGCAAGAACCTCCATGGAGGCTTACATTCAGGCTCGTTGCCCAGTTCGATGGCAAGGAGATTTGGGATCTCAGTAACAGCCACCTTGGCCGCAGCGATCGTATTCTCAATGTTATCCTTCCCCCTATTCAACCCGACCACCACACTCCCATTATACCCCCCCGCCAGGGTCATAAACCTCTTCCCAAACGTCAAAGACATAGGCGCATCAGCCGGATTCGCGACCGAGTAGGTCACATACGCCTCGCTCGCCGCACCAAACGATGCCCGGTCCTGGGTGGTCCCGCCGATGCGGATGGGCGGCCACGTTCCACTGAGGTTCTTCCAGTTGGCGAGACACTGGTGTGTTGCCGTGACGTTGGTCATGTACGACGGGAAGGTGAAGAACTCGAACGAGATGCCGACTGGCGCTGGATCTAGCGGTGCGTAGGTGTAGCCGGCCGCGCCTGTTTTGCTGGGGATGGCGAATGTCACTGCGCAGACGGACTGGGCTTGGAGGAGGAGGATTGTCGCGCAGAGCGCGACTATGCCCGTGGTTTTTCCAGCCATGATGGTAGAACCTGAACAGGGAGCGCAATGTGAACAAGATGCAATGTGTAAACAGCAAGCCATCCTTGGGAATTGCTCCAATATCTACTCCGATTCATGTCGCATTGTCTCTCGGGAGTGGGCCTTCGGTATTTTAGCCACCGATGTGACGCAGGGCTGGGCAATATATTCTGCCTGTAATATTCCGCGAATCTTGTGCTCGCGGGGAGTCCTGAGCTGATTATCATGTCATTGAGCCTAGGTAGGCAAGTGAGCAGGGGCCTGATCCCACGATTGTTGAGAAGTTGAGAAGCAAAGCTCTATAATTGTCCAGTTTAATCTAGGTACCCAAAATAACAAATATTTACATCGAATGAAGCGAAGTGAAGTCTAGCAAAAACCAAAAGTTGGAAAGCGAATGAATCCCATCTGTAATCCCCTAGCACTTAACCGGGAGGGCCTTGTCGTCGGTGGCCTTCTTAGCCAGAGCAATCTCAGCGTTGCGGCGGCGGACGAGGCCGGGGAGGACCTTGCCGTTGCCGTGCACCCACTTGGGGAGCTCCTCGGAGAGCACCTTGTTGACGTTCTCGCCATTGTTGAGGCGCTTGACGAGCGTCGACGACTGGGCGGCGCCGCAGCCCATGTTGAAGGACCAGCTGACCAGAGCGCCGTACTGGTTGAGGTTGACGGTGGCCTTGACCATTTGGCTGATGCATTTCTCGAAGCGCTGCAGTGGTGTCTGTCAGTTAATATGCTCAAGCGGGGTGGATGATGCCACGGCGAATGTGGGTTGTGGAACACACCTTCATGTCGTCGGCGAGGAGCTTCTTGCCGTTGGCCGAGGACAGGGGGATCGGGTACTTGACGTCGGAGCACTTGGAGTTGCTGCAGAGATGGCCGTAGCCAACCGTGGGGTGGCCGGTGGCATCCGTGTCTGGGGATCAAGTTAGCATGCTGTCTTGCGCGGAGAATATGGCGTGAAAGTCTAAAGATGCACTTACAAACATTGGCACGGAAACCCTCAAACTCGGCAATGAGGTCGACAGTGGCCTGGTTGGACTTGGGAGGGGAGCAGCTGCCGCCAGAGCCACCCCCGCTGCTGCCGCACTTGGTGGTCACATAGCCGTTGGAGCCCGTCTTGACGTAGTAGTCGGAGACGTAGCAGCCATCCGAAGTCTTGTCCCAGATGCTGTTGCCGTTGATGTTGGTGCCCTCGGTCTGGCAGGTGACCTTGACATCTGTTCCCTTCTTGTATGTCTTCTTGACGGCGTAGTTGGTGCCAGGGCCGGAGCGGCAGTTGACGTCGTCGCCCGTGATGGGGTAGGCGAGCGCAGGCACGAGGGCAGCGGCGAGAACGGCGAGAGTGGTGAGCTGCATTGTGATGGTGAGGAGTAGTTGTTAGTGGTAGAGAGAAGAGATGCCTGTTGTCGATTTAAGGAAAGAAGAGATGGTAAGATCTGGAAGAGAAGTTGAGAAGATGCTGAGTTGTGGTGGTGAGCTGTGGTGGTGAGGATGAGAGAGAAGGAATTCCGTCGTCCAGAACCGCACCCTTTATACAACCATCGCCGGCTTGTTTCTATTGTTGACTTTGCACCTGAAGTTGAACGAGATGATGGAGTTTCCATGTACGGAGCAGTCAGTCGCTAAGACGGGTTGATGGAATGCCGGTTTGTGACATAATGTCATACCCCAGGTCGTTTTCCAGGCATTTCGGATTCGGTGAACCCATTTTGCCCAACTTGAGTGGGTTCGCAGTTGATGAGTTTGCTCAAGGGCCCCCGTGGTGCATGTGGGGAACGCATTGGTCGATGCTAGGGAGTCGGCGGGAGTCGGTGGCACAGAGCCGTCAGATTGTCCCGGTCCCGCCTGTCTGATGTATCCATTCTTCAGCCTCGGTGTCGCTCCCCTGCATTAGTCCAGCGCACTGCATTGACAGTTGAGGCTGATCACCTTTTTGCATCGTGGCGTCTGCGATCGAGATCCAATGTGCGTTAATTCTGCGCCAACCTGTTCAACGCGCAAACCCCTTGCAATTTCCACGCGGGGGCCCAACACGTGCAGTGACGGCGGTAGGGCAGTGTATTGCGCCGCTCATGAGCAGACAAAAACTACATGAACAGGGCTGTGACAATTAGTCACTGATAGTAGATAACTTGCCTTTAGGGATTCCTCCTCAGCTCGTTGTTGTTCATGATGTTTGCTCACGCCAAAGGCCGACGGTCCATGGAGGACTAATCTCAAGGATCAACATCGGGTTGAGTGAGATTCAACTGCGAGAACGAAAAGAAGTGTTTCCATTTGGCCCGGGGGTAAGGTGGGTCATTACTAGGGCTGGGCGGGAACCCCACATTTTGGTGCTAATTATAGGTGGTGCGGCCCGCTGAAGGGAAGGCGCACTTGCTGTGGAACTTGGCTTGCCAAGGCCCAAACTCCAAAGTTTGTCAAGACTTCAATGCCCGCGGACATGGTCCCGTGGATGTTGCAGCTGTCAGAGTCAGAAAGTTCTCAATTGATCAGCTGTAGTGCCATTCTTGGACTTGACGTGGGGCGAACTCCACATCCAAAAACAGACGGAAAGACATGAGATGAACGACTAGCAGCCTGAGTTTACCTAGGTACGTGCTGAACCTGACCACCAATTTTACACCCATGGCAAGAGCCGCAATCTCCAAATGTAAGGTACCGTTGCGATCCTACCCTACCTGCTGTCAACGGTAGTGCTAAGCACTAACTAGAGCCTCGGCTCAACAGGTTCGCTAGCTTCGCTCCCAGGCCCAATGTCTGATGGCGAGCCAACGAGAAGATGGAGCCGGTGGATCACCTCCACGGCCGATCACCAGAGCCTTATGGTAAGACTGAGCGGATCCGGTGTACGGACGATCCGGAAGACCGAAGTTGAACTCGCAGAACAGAATCCTGGCAACAACTGATTCAGTGGTCTAAGGTACCCAAGGCACCCTGATGACAATACCCAGCTTCTAGCGGCTTGATCCTGTTGATCGGTGCTGAATGCCGCCTGTCATTTGCGGTGTTTTACCGGGCGGGCAACAAGCTCAGAACTTCTCATCGTGTGCTGATCTTACAACTCACTGGAAGTATGACAGGGCCTAACCTGAGCACCAGCACTGGAACATTTCTGTAGAAGGACAAGATCCCCTTCGGGATTACTGACGGGTTCTAGCCTATGCAGCACGCTAACTGGTTGAGTCGTCTCTCCTTGACTCCCAGCAATCACATGAATGTAGGACTTGCAGATTTGTTGGGAATGCAACTCAGCATTCAGATTGTCTATTCTTCAAAATGTGCGCCTTCCTACCTTGGTATGGTTCTTTGAAGGACGAAAATAGGATACAGCTGATTTGCACCCTGCATTTGGAAGTACTAACCATGGATTCAATCTCGGGAAACCCTATAGGGGCGCCGCAAAGCCCGTCTTACCCGCAAGATATGGAGCACTCGGTTTCCACTCTCAGCGACATGCGGATATCGGACTGATTGTACCAACAGAGACTGTTGACATTCATGTCTTCCTCCGGCTGGTCGACGGGTCCAATAACGCGATAATGTTCAGGATGCAAAGAATATAAACCAACGCACCCGCTTGCCCTTGGTGATATCGAAAACAGACACACACACACACACATCATCCATCCATCACTTCCCTCATCATCTCCCTTTCATTCCACTCTCCAGCCGTCACAATGAAGCTCGCCATCGCCGCCTTCATCTTCCAGGCCCTGACCTTCTCGGTCACCCACGCCTACCCCGTCACAGGCGACACCCTCAACTGCCGCTCCGGCCCTGGCACCAGCTACGCCGTGAAAAAGACCTACAAGAAGGGCGCCGACATCAAGATCAGCTGCCAGACCGAGGGCACCGACGTCAACGGCAACAGCATCTGGGACAAGACCCAGGACGGGTGCTACGTGGCCGACTACTACGTGAAAACCGGCACCAACGGCTACGTGACCGACAAGTGCGGATCGTCCGGCGGCGGCGGCGGCGGAGGTAGCAGCGACAAGATCCCCGGCCCCATCAAGAACGACTACCCCTACAAGGGCCAGTGCGGGCCCGTCGACAAGTGGAACTACTTCAAGTGCCAGTGCACGAGTTTTGTTGCGTGGCGCATCAATGATCGGTTGGGCATCAAGTTCACGAATCGGTACAAGGGCAAGGCTTGGGGGAATGCCTATGAGTGGGACGAGGCGGCCCGCGCGTCAGGGGTGAAGATTGATAACAACCCTGTCCCTGGGTGCATCGCGCAGACGAATAAGGGGTCGGGGCATGTCGCGTGGGTTGCGGCTGTTGGGAAGGATACGGTTACCGTTGAGGAGTATAACTACGCGGTTACAGAGGGGTATGGGAAGAGGACTGTGCCGAAGAACACGTTCAACTACATTCATATCAAGGCTTGAGCGGGAAAAGTGAAGGCGGGGTGATGCTGAGGGGTGTGACGGATGTTGAGGTCTGGTAAATAACGGAAGGGACTGGAGCGTGCAGGTGGTTGGGAGTTGGGTTCTTATCACGTTCTTGTACATACATACTGTCCTTCTTGAGTGACTTCTTACTTGCTCTTGGATAAATTCCAGTTTTATTAGACAATAAAAGGGAGACTTATAAACCCAAGAACCGTTTCAAATCGAGCTTGGTTCGACTTGTTGCGATTCCTTTTCCTCTTGACTTCTGGCGATTAAGAGGCTCGGTAGGTTGGAACCGCGAGTTGGATGCTAGTAGATCCTCAGAGTCGATGGTCCTGCAGCCTGCTGCAGAGCTGAAAAGCACAGTTAAAGAGTGGGTGTGTATGTACCTTAATCTGCAGGAGGTTGGATCCAATGGTTCATGAGCCAAGGCCCAGTTGCCAGCAGCCTGAGTGGCTCAAGACAGGTTCAGACCCAGGGTCCTCCTTCCCACCAACAGAGCCCTTTCCCTTTGACATCTCTTTGCCCCTCACTCGTTCCCTCCACATCCGCAAGCTAGCGGAAATCCACCTCAGGTTCTGCACCTACTCGTCTTTCTGCGCCGGGCATGCAACAGTGCTTTATCCCGTCGCTCCAACCGACAGTGACCTCCTTCTTCCATCTCGTATCAGTGGTACCGTACTGTACAATTCGCGCGTAATTGGCAGGCGCCTGGTCCACGACTCTCGACAGTGTGGGACGGTCACGAGGCAGCCGCAGCGCCCGTAGCACTGCGACCGGCCGCCCCGGCGCCCTTTCCGCCGACTACCGCTTCAGGCCAGTTATCTTTCTGGAAATGTCGACTGATAGCAACGCTTTGCCTCCTGGTCAGGCTGATCTTGTTACTGTGGTCAGGGAACAGGCTAGATTGGTCAGTTTTCTTGCGGAAAGGGTTGAGGAAACCAACCGTCTCCTTCGTGCATCCACCACTACCAGGGAAGACTCGGAAGAGTCGTGCGAAAATGCGCAGCCACGCAGATTCTCCGTCATACCCTATTATTTCCTCCACGTCAACTTCCCCGAGGGCGCGATGGACGACCTACGAAAGGACATGATCAAATTCTGCCAAAGGGGGAGGATGACGTTCCGCTTCCAGTATAACGAGCACCTGGGCGCTACGGACGAGAATATCATCCTCATCGGGTTCAACGAGGCAACTATTGAGTTCCGGATAGATGCGTCTCATCTTGATCCCAAGACCCAGCAGTTGCCTGCCAACAAATGCAAGAAAACAGGTGGGCGAGGCAGAATTTACCTCCTACCCGAAGAGCACTTCCATGATCCTGGTAGGAGACTACTGGAAGCCATCGAGAACCAATGGTTGTCAGGAGCAGGTCTGGGCTTCACCGAGCGATTCATAACCCACGATAACCGCTCTCTCAGACTCTGGGACCTTCCTCTAATCCGGGGATTTGAGTACTGCACCATTGACGGCTTTTCACAGACACGGGACGGCGCCGTCGAAAGGATCGATGACGCGAACATCATATGGCAAGTGAGGCAAGAGTATCCATCGCCGAACAGTCCGCACTTTATTCGTCTGATCGTAGGTGTGATCGCCATACGTCTTTTCACTACTATTAGAATATGCGCTGAGTCCTTGACAGGAGACAGATGATGCTGGAAGGGTATGGTAATGTCTAGCTACCATATTCTATCCTATTTCTCGGCCCAGCAGAATTCGAGTCCAGCGTTACTGATACTATATCTCTACAGGATCTTCAGAACAAGCGATCCTCCGTTGTCTTTTGCATTCGTCTCGACCATCCTAGCTGTACTTCAAACAAGCCACACGATGGCGGAACATGCATTGTTTCGGTTTCGTAAACAAATGGTCCAGGGACCGCTCGAGAACCACTATTGGTTTCCTTTGCTCCCGGGCCCGCTATAAACAAAGAATGATGGATGTCCATTCTACCTTCGTCCTCCTTGATATACGAACCTTTTACTCAAGAGATGACTCTTTGTTTCCTGGTAGTCTTTATCGCCCTGGTATCATCCCTCATTGCGTTAGAGGGGTTCTGTTGGAAATGAGGCCCTGGGTTTGATGCCTTAGTTGGGCCTAGTGCGCCCCTGAGAAAACTCTGTCCCCTACACTCGAAAGACGCTCTATAATAGCCACTACTGCAGAGCCAACTTACCACTCTTCTATAGTACTGAATCCATCACTACCTTTGACTCTTTAAGGCTCACTATTGGCCCTATTAAGTAGCAATATCGCAGTATTACCTCTATTACTCTATAAGTAACTAGCTTAGCTATTTCTAATAGTTATAAGCCTAGTAAGCTCGAAAGCTTCTATCAAATTGAGATAGCTAGCTAAGGAATCTTACTTAGGAATCTTCTTCCTTCTTTAACTACTCGAACTAATTAAAATTTAAATCTATTAATCTTCTTCCTATAACTATATATTCTTTATATATAGTTAGGCATATACAGTCCCGGTTACCACACGTAAGGGCTAGCTCGTTTGTCTTGCTTGCGGCCACATATACTAGGTATAACCACCTCCGCCTCAGGGAAATTTTATCTCTCGCGGGGTTGTAGCGAAGGAGCGACTACTTACCGCACGCGGCCTCAAAGTTCCTTGCAACATGGGCTCGACTTATCTTCCGCGGAGGAAAACTACGAGGCTGACGCCCGCCGACGAGGCTGCCTCGTCCAAGGCTGCCCTCGACAACCTGGAGCGACAAGCCTTCCATGAGTGGCCAAACGAGGCCGGCGTAAGCACTTCTCTCCGCTTTCAAGTTCCCCGCCCTGACCGCGTGGTTGAACCGTCGTCCAGTTTGACGGCCTGACCGAGCAGCGCGGCCCCATCGAGCTCAAGGCTGAGGGCAACATCCCAGCATGGGCAGCCGGTTCCCTCTACCGGACCGGCCCCGGTTAGTGCAAGGTTGAAGACACCAAGTCCGGCACCTTCCACATCTCGCATTGGTTCGACGGGCTCGCCCACACCCATAGGTTCGACATCGTCGTCGAGGGGCCGACGGTGAATGTCTATTACTCGTCTCGTCGACAGTCCGACAAAGTTGCCGCTGGCATCAAGGCCGCGGGCACCTTGCGGTCCATATCATTTGCCCAGAGGCTAGATCCTTGCGTCGGTCTTTTTGGCAAGTTCATGCGCGTCTTCGAGAAGCGTTCGGATATCCATAACGTCGGCGTCACGGTCAGCGTCAACATACCTTCGTTCAAATCTCCTCCAACCAAGCCAGACGTCGGCGTTGACGGCCACCGTGCGGCCAATCTCGTCATTGCAACAGACGCCGCCGTCCGGTGCGAGATGGACCCTAGCACCATGGAGCCCATCAGCTTCCCGAACCACTCCAGGTTTCACCCGGACCTCAAAGGGTCCCTTGGGAGTGCCCACGCGATGGCCGACCCGGACACGGGCGATTACAACAACTACAACCTCGACTTCGGCAAGCAGCCTGTGTACCGCGTCTTCCGCGTTAGTGCCTCCACCGGTAGGACCGATATCCTTGCGACCATACCGTACAAGGCCACATACGTCCACGGCTTCTTTATGGCGCAGAATTACGTCGTCCTCTGCTTGCCCGTAGCCGATTACAAGTGGAATGGCCTGAAGATGCTGTGGGAGGGCAACCTGAAGGACTCGTTCAAGCCCTTCGACGTGTCTGACAAGTGCTGGTGGTTCGTGATCGACCGGCACCATGGCAAGGGCGTCGTGACCGAGCTCGCCTCACCGGCCTGCTTCTTCTTCCACACTGTCAACGCCTTCGAGGATGACGACGGTGATGTCCTTTGCGAGCTTGTCGAGTTCCCGAACCGATACATCCTCAATGGGTTATACTACGATGTCGTCCTCGACCGCAACGGCAAGGCCAGCGAGTTCTAGACCGACGGCCAGCTAGCGCAGAAATGTTTTCCACGGCTCGTGAGGTACCGCCTGCGCAAGAAGGACTTTGCCAGCAGCGCCGCCTCCGCCACGGGGCCTCCCGCCCCCGAGATAGTCATGGAGGTCTCATCGCCGCATGCAGGCGACCTGCCCGTCATCAATCCCAAGTACCGGTGCAAAAAGCACCGCTACACGTACATGGTCGTCTCGCGCATCTCGAGCACTATGCTCGATGCCATCGTCCAGATCGACACCGAGACGCGCGAGCTGCTGCAGTGGGAGGGCCCCAAAGGCCACACCCCCGGGGAAGCCATCTTCGTCCCCCGCCCTGCTGCTAACGGGGAGGCGTTGGAGGAGGACGACGGTGTGCTGCTAAGCGTCGTCCTCGACAGCGCCAACAGGACCAGTTACCTACTATGCTTGGATGCCAAAACCATGACGGACCTGGGACGCGCCGAGTGCGAGTCTGCCGTCGCAATTGGACTGCATGGCTGCCATGTACCGGCTGCTGGCATGAGCGGACAAGGAGGGAGACGAAACGGTGTTTCCTTGCTGTTTTAGGGAGCTGGTTACGGATTCCGAATGTCATAGTGAAGAAATGAACTCAGGCGCCTGCACACCGGGTACATGTAAGTGCTAATACCATGGCTCAGAGGCAAAACCTTGCCTTTCGCACAACTGCAATTGATGACTCAGCAAGCACGAACCAGATCCTTGCCCGAAGTTTTGCCGGCCTAGGACGTGCTCCCGTTCCTGGAGTGGGACCGGCTCCGTAACGGCTGCAAACGGCGCCGGCGACGGAGGCAGGAAGGCATCAAATGCTAGTGTAGGCGACGGTCTCAAAACCGACGCAGTCCACGTTCCCCGGTGCCTCCTCGAGCCGCCTTCTCGTCCAAGCGATGTGGATACCCATCTGCTATGGGACGAAC